TCCAAGAACAAGGACCACCTTTCGCCACTACGTATCGACGCTGGAAAGTACGACCCCGTCACCAAGATGCTGAACGTCGTTTTGCAAGTCAACGCGAATCCCAAAAGCAAGGGTCTTGAAGCATGGCTGAAAAAGTATTCCACCCACGCAAAGCTAGCCACCGCCAAGTTCAATACTGCAGCCGAAGACCAGCAGGCAGAATACCACCGGGTCCTGGACGAACTTACCGATAAGGGGAAGCGCAATCTCAAAGATATGAAGACTGCTGATGATGAGTGAATACTGAAGTTGGGAACAATGATGGAGGAGTTTCAATGGTGAATTGCGGTTGTCGAGTCTAATCATATGTTTCTTCCAACTTTCTGGCTATCTACTGGTTGGCCGTATTTTTCTGTTATTTAGCCACGTCAAGCATTAACACTATTTTTTCTTTCCACAATTGTTTTGACTTACACATGACTTCCCAGGTTAAACTTGGTAATCTACTTCCAATGATGAGGTACGAAGGTAGATATAGTATCCATTAGCCTTTCCATAGACAAATAAGGAAGCACCAATGCATTTAGACAGTACTCCGTACAGTATCGCTGTACCAAAGATCTGTGGAGTCTGTTGGAAATATGTTGCTGTGTCGTTCAGCTAGTTATTTTATGTTCTGGAAGTCTCTGACTCCTCAACTTGTGTTGTACTTCCCTAATCATTTAAAGATGTTAATGAGTCGTCATCGGATTCCTCCACAGGTGTCTTACGAAACATTGACTTGTGCCGGATTAAAACAACACGATGTGAGGTTGATGAACTCACTTTATGTTGCTGTTGCTTCCGGGGTTTGCGGCTAAAGTTTGCCCCTTTTTCCGCCGTGAGACCTCCCAAGTCGAGACGCTCAACACCAAATCCTGTTTTAGACCTGGATCTGGATCAAGGGGCGCGGGAACTCTTTGGCAACCAAGCCAAACAAGCCCGGGCGGTTGAGCTGTCGTTGATTCTTGACAAGCGCCTGCAAAGCCACAAGTTTCTAATTATAATCCGCGTGTTTCTAAAAAAGGAAACTTAGCCGTGCCGGAAAAACTCTCGGAGAAACACCGGATAAACTTCTCAATACACTAAGCCGCATCAGGCTAGGGCGACTGTTACTCAGCCGTTTGAATTCACCACGTGACGCTTACCTCAGCACCTACGTAAGATACAAGCCTCCTTCGCCTTCTCCTCGAGCTTCAACCCGACTTCACGCAATCCTTCAGCTTTCTCTTCCTTCACCTTTTGCGCCGTCGACAGCTCCGTCTCTCGTTCGTGTCATTTTTACTGCCTGTCCTTTTATTTTCTGTTCTTTGGGCTAGCTGGATCTGCTCTCTGACCGCCGTTCCTGACGCATTTTCGGGCGCTCCTCCACCCTGCTTCCAACTTTCCGCCAGCTCACGCGCCAACGGCCGAGCAAGGTATCGCAAACGAATCGGACCTTCGCACCACGCCTCGTCAGGCTCTGATATATTTTAACAAGTTGACGTTCCTTTCCCTATTCTGCAGCGATGAACACTGCCGTGGCAGTGCCGGGGTTCGCGGACTCCTTCTGGACTCCCGATTATGCTACTGGGATTCATACCCTGTTCACAAAACTCCACCAGGGCATCGTGGAGAACCAACAGATTCTCACGATGGCCCAGATGCGTGCTGAAGCAGAGCGTGTATACGCCGCACAACTTGGTGCGATTGCTCCAGCTATTGCTCGGAAGACCGGTGGCTTCGATCGTGACGATGGTGCCAGTGTTCGCAAGGTTAGTTCCTGCTCCGGGAAACGTTGGCCCAACATTACGTCTGACATTTAGCAGGCTTTTGATTGTATGCAGAAGCAGATGGTCGAGGAGCAAGCCATCCACCAGAAAATATCGAGTAGCATTCAACAACTCGTCATCCAAGAGTTTAGTCGATGGGCAAGCGAGCATGAAGCCCGAGTCGTCACCTGCGAAAAGGCCCTCAATTTGCGACTGAAAGAATATGCCAAACAATGTGATGAGGTGAGCAGTCTTAATGAGAAGTATCTTAGCAAGTGCCGGCAGATCCACGACCGGGAACAGCAGGAGCTGTTCGCCTTCCAGGAACCCGAGAGTGCCACAGCCAGCCCGAAGCATAAACAACTAAAGGCCCCCACCATCGTGCTGCCCGATCCACTAGATGAAGACCCGGAGCCAGTGGAGTTGGGCGACATTGTCTACTCACCAGAGCAATTGAAGCAGTTACTGAAGAACATGCTGGAAACCATTCCAATGGGAGAGGTGAAAGTTCGCTTACTTGGGACGTATCTCAACACATCACTTGGATCGGACATCGTTGAATATCTCCAGAAACACTTGGGTGCCTCATCCCTCAGCTATGCGGAACGAATTGGCCAGGATATGGCCGATAATGGTTTTATTACTTCGATCGGCGCCATGGGCCCGAACCCACTCGTCAATACTACATTTACCGGTAGCTCTAGGTCTACATACCAGTGGGACAAGCGTGTTTTCCAGATGACCGGAGTACCGGAGAAGAAAAAACCACTTACTCGCTCTGGGACTACATTGAGCCGCACCAGCACTGGAACAGGAAGCGATGACAGTCCAGTCGACTCGCCTACCTTGACGGAACGTTTTGCTGCATGGAACCCCCTTAGAAATCAGCTTACTGATGAAACGCCTATGGAAATACTCAAGCGCCAGGCAGATGAGGCCAATGAACGCTACAAACATGCCGTCAAACACCTGGATGCTATCCGCTGCAAGCTCGAAGAGGAAATGTTCCACACTATGAAATTTATGCAGCAGTGTGAGCTACACCGTCTGGAGGGTATCAAAACAGTCGTTATCGATTTTTCGAGCACGATCAGCAATGTCATTCCATCTCTACAGAGCACCATGGATAGAATTGTCCTTCACCATGAGGCAATGCAGCCACAGGGTGACCTGCGTTATATGCTGGAGAATTACCGCACTGGCTCGTTTTGTCCCAAAGTGGCCGTCTACGAAAGCGGTTCAAAATCTACAGAAGGTGAGCTGCTTTATTTGCTTGTCTCCTCTTTTGAAACTCCCGTAAGGCTAACTGACATTTGGCAGAACAAACCTTTGGTGTTGATCTAGAAACATTAACAGCGGCAGAGGGCAAAAAGCGAGTTCCGGTCCTTGTTACTGGTATTCTGACATACCTTGATAGGCGTAAGTAGCCCCTGGTTCATGATGCAATCATTCAAAACGAGATTGTGGACTAAGTATTATTAGATTATCTTGACCTGGAAGGAGATGATGCCCGGCGAGCAATTTGGCTTCGAGATGTCCCTTTGACGGAAACTCATAAGCTGCGTGCTAAACTCAACAGAGGCCGTTCGGGACCAATTGTAAAGATCGACGATGAGGTGGAAGCTATTGGTGAAAAGTTACAAGAATTCGAAATGCCTGTCGTTGCGAGCGTTTTGAGACTCTACCTCTTGGAACTCCCTGGTAAATTTTACATCTCACATTTCGAGAATGATTCCTGCTAACCTTACCTAGATTCGATCGTCTCCTCTAAGCTGTACGAAATTTTCCGCACAATTTACACAACGACACGAGATACCTCCGATGAAAATCGTATCAGAGTACTTCAGAGCACTCTGGGCCAACTTCCTCTCCCCTACATTGCTACCCTAGATGCTATCACCACTCACTTCTGGCGACTCGTCGATCTTACCATTCCTGAGAACGACCAATTTTCTACCCGTGAGGAGATCTACATATCTGCCCTTGCATCGACACTGGCTCCATGCATCCTCCGTCCGCGCGTGCAGAATCATCTGTCTATGGACGAAAAGCATAGCCATCGTCTTGTCCGTGACCTCATTGTGAACCAGAAACAAATCTTCGGGGAACTTAGACGACTCTCAAGCAAGTCAAGCAGCACCGCGTCTCGACCTCGTGCTATCAGTACCGACGAAAGCAATCGACGAGCAAACATGGAAGAAAGGAACCGTGCGATTGCTAGCAGGGCTAGAGCCACGAGTCCTGCTCCGTCCCCTCGTCATCGCCGGGACCGATCTGTTGGAAGCTCTGGAAGCACCAGATTCCCGGTTAGCGTTTCCGGAGCTACTACTTCTGAACGAAAGCCGGTCCGTCAATCCCTAGAAGTACCGGATTCGTCACCAGCTCCGGTGGATACTGCACATAGTACCACTAATGGCTCAAGCGAGGGCACGCCAGCGACGGCTGAAGACACAAACACTTCTGCCGATGCTCCAACTGCTGATCGGGCATCAACACCACCATCCGCCACAACTACAACCGCCGCTTCCGCAGTACCATCATCTGTCACTAATGAAGTTAAGAAAACAGGCTCACTCTCTCGCTCTTCCCGATACAGCCATATTACCGGCATAAAGCGAGATGAAGGTGATAATTCAGGATCCGATGTTCCTCCGAAGCCTGTGGGTGTAACATTAGAGGACAAACCAATTGATGACTAGGTTTAGCCCGATCTTAGCTACCCACAGTCACCATTGACTTTCCCCTTTCTCCGTTCTCTTATCCCCGTTTCCTACCTTCTGTTTTTGTCATGATATTATGCCAAGAGCAACCGATTTAACGATATCCCAAGCAATTTTTTTACCTTCTCAACCTCAACCATTTACTTTAGCCTTAGATATGTCTTTTTGTACGATGTCTCTTTAAGATTTATATGTTTTGCGAACTTCTCACATTCTCTTTCTTGCCCCTAATGAGGCTCCATTCTAGCGGTTGATTCATCTTAGAGGCAGATCTTCCGGTAATTGCGTATGATACCCAGGAATTAACGGAACGGATCCTGTTGGCTAAATGCTACGAAAGAACGTCGTTGCTGCATCGTACAGGCTTATTACAATTGTCAATGTGGTCAACATTACTCAGCAGTAAATATATAATTATTATTATATGATATCATATACCTCTATATATTGTGATACAAAATACAAAATACCCACGGCCAAACACCAGAGCCAACCCAGCAATGAATATTCACTAGCGGAACTCCTCGCGCTGCCTATTTTCCAGCATTATCATACTTTCAGACATATTCTCGTCATCACCACCCAACGGTCTCTGCTGATAAGGTTTTAGCTGCTGCTTTTTCCTAAACAGGCCTTTAATATCCAAAGGATCAAGGATCTTCATCTTCAAAGGCCGAGTGTCCTCAAGAGTACCTTCGGGACTATCATCCTCTGCTTCCATACCGTCTGCAAGCAAATAGACGTGAGGATTACTCGGCAGAAGAACTCCTGGGTGGATCACATTGAACATGGCCGCATTGATGAACATCACAAGGGCTTCCAGACACAGGAAAGGTGCTTCTGTAGATCTAAGTGGGTGATCGATCGGAAGAAAGCTCTCTTGGGACAATTGTCAGAATACCTATCTTATGGTTTGGGGTTTGAAGAACTCGCCTGCAATATGATACCCGGACCTCGCAGCAATTAAAAGGGAAGACGCATACAAAGTGTATATGACCTTAACCCATCCGGGAGTACCCCCGGACTGCTGGTGGCTTGCTCTCCAAAATCCCCGGCTGGTGGCCCGTATCTGGAACAGTAACACAACGGCAACGAAACATGCGAACAGTGCTAGTTGTATAATAACAGCCGCCCGCACGAGGTTAACACCCAGCTTTGCTCTTGCGCTGTTGGGATCTTTGCTGTCATTTATACCAGCTCCTACCCATACCCCAATTTCTGCTAGGAAGTCGAAGAAAATAAAGGTCCTGACCGTTCGGAGTGGGGATATCGGTGCTGCATATCGAACGTAACTGAATATACGGCCACATACGAAGTAGTCTGCACCTGCATAGGTCGGGCCGGCGCCGATAGTGAACATGGTGGATATTCTCCATAGTGTGCGCGGGTCTCCTATCTTGAGAGCGCTTAGCGATCGAGTGACAAAGCCGATACTTGAAAATGTTGTGCCGAGGACAAACGGCATGGTGAATTTCTGTGGTCGGGTGGCTCTTGGAATTGTAACGTTAGTATTGCTTCAGTGTTATGATTGGAGATAGAAAAGTCGACGATGGGAACTTTCGTGAACCCACTTGTACTGATATTCATGGAGGAAAGACGATGCAATGTATAGAATTGCAAATATGATAGCGGCCGGCTTGCTGGGGAGGTAGTGGTATAGCTCTCTCAGTGTGTCTTCCTTGCTCGACATGATGATAATCTTGTGTTTGTTTTTATAGTTGAGTATTGGCAGGCAACTGTATGAGTAGGACGATTTGGCTCGAGATCTGTAGATCAATAAATGAATTCTATCATGTATATTCGAATAAATTGATGGACAAACCAAGTATACTTAGATACACTACTCAGAGCCGCGGATAAAACTGGGGCGGCGGAAGCTTATTTGAAAGCCTTGGCCAGCGAAACTTCCTAAAGGGGAAATTTCGCGGGAGCTTAACTTTAAATATATCACGTGATATTGCATCGAAAAACACAGCCTCATGGCACTTTTCTAGTCTCAAGCGCTTTGTTCATGGGTTTGTATGTAAAGCAGATGGCTATGAATTACCTAAAAGAGAGAATAATACGAAATGGCTTAGAATAAAACCTGCAGAGTTTATATAAAACTAACTTTTCGATTCACACTTTGAGTACTCCACAGGCCAGGGATTGAATGTACAGGATTGACGCTGAAAACAAAGAATAGGTAAGATACAAGACCAAAACCCCTACCGAACGCCAATGCTAGAGAAAATACTCCGTATTAACACATGCATCGCCATAAATAACCATGACGTGGATAATTATACATTAATAATGATTAAAATTCTTCAATACTCGTCGGTGGCCAGCAAGGCTTTGAGAATGGCCTCGCCAGGCCCAGAGATTTGACTTTGAACCTCTTTTTCTCCGACGAGGCACACAAGACCACTGTCATCTGTCCTTGCCATGTTCTTCACTGTGGCTGGTCTTCCACGGCCGGATTTAGATGGGGTGGAGAAGAGGCCGGACACTCCTGCTGTAGGAGAGCCGGTTCCACGGCCACGAGCATCAACTTCTCCGACTAAGCCCATGGTTTCTAGGCTGCTGATAACGTCTCTAAACTCAGTGGCGGTGAGTGGCTGGAGAACATTATCGCGCCGACAAAGTCCAGAATAGGTTTCAAACAGCTCTCTGCTGGTTGGTGCAGTAGATCGTGGCGATTTGGAGGGTGTTTTATAAACAGTGTTGGCAGTTTGCTGTTTCTTGCCAAAGGAAATCAGCGCACAAAGTGCGGCCTTTTGTTGCAGGTTCAGGTCCTGGAGTCTTTCGGTTGTGCCATTACCGAAAGTAGAGGATGTGACGCGAGCAACGTGAGCTACAGTTGCTCGTGGTGCGGTGGCAGCGGTATATTCCGTGGCAGAGGGGCTGGGGAGAGAGGTTGATGCTAGATTCTTGTTTTCCAGCAAAGGTAGCTTGGACGGACTGGTGCTAGAAGCGGAAGCGGTCTTTTGTTGGGTCTCACGCTCCAAAAGAGAGATGGTTCGGTAAACGATATCGAAGGCTTTCCTCAAGTCACCAGACTGGGAGGCAACCTTGCGAGAACAGAGCTGTATGGCAGCTGGGTGCAGGAAAGGGACCTGGCTTGCACCATCTTGGGCTTCTTTGGGTAGCAAAGAGCGAAGGCGAGTAGTGATAACATCAGCAATTTGTGTTGGGGTATATGGAAGGAATGGAAGTAGATGAGGTTTCAGATTCTTTGCCTTTAGGCGAGGTAGGAGTCGATCTGTCAAGTCAAGTGCGTTCGCAATTCCAATCAGGATAAGACGCGAGGACTTGTGCAGAGACCACTCGAAAAGCTTGTACAGGATCTCGATGTCTCCCGACAAGAGATGGTCGATTTCATCCAGAATGACTAGGTAGAGAGGACCAGCTGACTTCTTCGAGATGAACATTGCTTCTAGGCGCTCCACCTCACTCTTTTTGAACACACTGGTGTTCTCAGACAAGTCTTCTATGAGATTGCCGTAGATATCTCGTGCAGAGGTTAGGCTGGCACAGTTGACATTGGCAATCTTGATTCCGTCGACAGACTTCTCGAGATCCCGCGAAACTTCGTCGATGAGAGCAGTTTTCCCCGTTCCAGGTGGTCCGCTTACGTAGATGCACCCGCCTTTTCTCGAGTCTACCGACCCTTGAATAAAGCTTTTCATCTCCCTGGTCTCATTTTCTCGTCCAACAAGCTGGCCTGGGTTGGCACTTCTGGTGAAAAGCTGTTTGGCAGTGGTGAAGACGGAACGAGTGGTCTTTGGTGTGGATGGAGTACGAGGAGTTCGAGGAGTCAAGGGCTTCCCCCCGACCAGCACCCTGTGTTTTGGAGTAACTGGAAGAAAAACATTTTTATATCTCTGGGTTGTTGGAGTGCTGAACTCGACAGGTTGAACATTTTCGTCTGCCAACAAAATTAGCCAGGCGCTTCCACCAGGGACCACAGGCAATGGAAGACTAGAAAGAAGTTAACTCACCATTATCGTCGTGAACTGCTGTCCTGCTGGTCGTCTTGTCACCGTCAATACGTTTCGTCCGTACGTTACGGCTTGGAGTGTTTGCATCGCTGGGGCGCTTGCGGGTGATGGGCGACCGGGAGCTGGAGCGTTTTTGGCTTGTCGACGTTATAAAGGGGTCCTCCTCATCTGTATAGATCTTCTTGCTTGCCCTTGCCAGACGTTTGCTCGGAGATCGTAAAGAAGGTGCATCTACAGTAGGAAATTCGCGTTAGATATGGAGGAAGAAGCGCTTTGAGGCCAGAGCCGGCATGCAATTACCTGGCGACTCGAGAGCAGTCCTCTGTCGTTTCCCTAGAACAGCAGAAGCCATGGCTAAGCTAGGAGCGAGGGTGGTGTAGGAAGCGAGAGGTGCGTGGACGAGAGGTCTGGTTGCTGAATTGGCAAAGCAGCAGGAGAGAGCGTGGTGACGGGAGAAGTACTGGTGGAGTGCGAGCAGAGGTACCTGCACAAGTACCTTTTCATCAAGGCGGAAGTCACTTTTTTCTTGGGACGCGGTTGCGGGAAGCGCGCGCGCCGAAGCCTTAAAGTGGCAAGAAGGCGCGACTCTCGAGCGCGACGCGATGGCGACGGAAAGAGAAGGTGAGCCGAGTCAGTCTTGGCAGGCACACTCCCGAAGAGGAAAGCAGTAGGCGGAGGGGCCATTCTTCCGCTCCGGAACTAATCAGGAAATCCCGGAACTGAATGGCGGACTGCAGAGACCAGAGACGCAGCTTTTGTGCACAATTTTATGCGGCTCTTGGCAATAGTGATGACTAATGAAAGCCACGTGACTAATGAGCTCTGACTAAGCTGAACCTTGGCGCTAACGGGGCGGAATATCTTAAGCGCGGCCCGCTTGACGCTCCCGGCCTTGGCGCGCTTCTTCCCTTTTGCGAGTGATGCTTGTTTTTCTTTTCTTCGGCTTATCAAAATCATCGGAAGAGAGGCTAAACACGCAGACTAGTTGGTGCCTGGCGGTTTTCCTTATTGACATAAATTACACCCAGGGAATCCCAGGTTGTTATCCTGAGCAGCAGACATCTTATCTTTCCGTCCTTGAGAGTGCAATTTGCCAACCTCCCCTCCCCGATCGTTAATATTACCCCACGCTTCATACCTACCGATCTACCTTACGAGCACCTTTCCATCGAAGCTGATATACAGAGTTGGGTCATTTCGGTTTTACGCTATCTCATCTATACCTTACTTGCGCCCTGCCCGGAACGGGCCGCCGACGTCATCATGGCCGACACGACCGTGGCCCAGTTCGTAGAGATTACGGGAGCCTCTCCGGAGGTCGCTGCCCAGTACCTACAACTGGCAGATAGCAATATTGAGAGCGCCATGCAGCTTTATTTTGAGAACGGGGGCAACCCTATCGAACCTACTGCGGCCTCATCCGCTCCACAGTCATCGACAAGGCCTGGACGATCAACCGGTTACCAAGATGGGGATGGAGTGATACACCTAGATTCTGACGATGAGAATAGTGGAGGTGTTCCTGTGGGCCAAGAGGGAGCTGCCCAGGCGGCTGGTGACACCTTTGATGCAGACCTGGAGATGGCGAGAAGATTACAGCAAGAGTTTTACACTGGTGGTGACCCGACAGATAATGTTCGGGCGCCGATAGAGAGAAGGACGGAGACCCTCGTAGGACCAGAGCTTGATGATGGATTCCAGCCAGATATAATGGAGCATCTACACTCAAGAGCGGCTCGTAGAGGTAGGTTAACATCCTGGTATTTCTTGATCCGTGGGCATGGCTAACGGCTGGAACAGCAGGTCGACCCGGAATCTTTAACCAGAGAGATGTTGATCGCTCCATCTGGACCGAAGATGCGGATGGGTCAAGCTCAAACATCCTTGCACGCGCAACCGGAGGCGCTTCTGAGGCGTCGTCCAAGGCCAACATGCTTGCTGAGATGTACCGCCCTCCTTTTGAACTCATGTCCCGCCTACCTTGGGACCTTGCACGAGACGAAGGCCGGGAAAAGATGAAGTGGCTGCTGGTCAATATCCAAGACTCGTCGATTTTTGACTGCCAACTATTAAATCGAGATCTGTGGAAGAACGAGGGTGTCAAGGAGACGATAAGAGCACACTTCTTGTTTATGCAATATTCCAAAGATGACCCGCGCGGCGCCCAGTATATTCAGTACTATTTCCCCGGCCACGACGTAGCCGACAACTACCCGCACATTGCCATCGTCGACCCACGGACCGGCGAGCAGGTGAAGACTTGGAGTGGCCCACCCGTAGTCAAGGCCCCCGACTTTTTGATGCAGCTACACGAGTTTCTCGATAGATACAGTCTCGACCATAACGTCCGCAACCCAGTCGCAAAACGGAAGCCAGAAGTCACTCCTCAGTCAAAGATAGACACGATGACTGAGGAAGAAATGCTAGACATGGCATTAAAGAACAGTCTTGTGGGCCAGGAACCAACCAAAGCAGAAGACCCAGACGATCTGACTCGAAGTATCGGGGATATCAAGGGCAAAGGCAAGGCTACTGATACTGGCGAAACGGGTGATGCGGACATGTTTAACGGACAGGATGATGAGGAGCCATCATCCTCAGATTCACCATTTTTCAAGATACCCTCTGACAAGCCACATACTGAACCAGCTGCAGATCCAGCAACTACCACTAGAATCCAGTTCCGCCACTCGTCAGGCCGTGTAATTCGACGGTTTGCACTCTCAGACCCTGTCCAGCGGCTCTACGAATGGCTCAAAGCATCGCCTTTGGAAGACAAGCATGGCGTGGAGTTTGAACTTGTATCCATGGGCCAGAATCTAATATCCTTACTTGACAAGACCATCGAAGAGGCCGGTCTTAAAAACGGAACAGTCATGGTTGGCTTTATTGAAGACTAGATAGGATATTCCTTTTGACGCCCGTTATTATTCCTTTCTCCTGATGCAAGATGATACGTATACACCTGATGATACCACGGCTGAACACTATACCTCACAGTTTATAACCCCGTCTTCACTTGCAAGCATCATCCGCAGATATATTCTTAAGCGGTCTAATTCAACTTATGGGCTTTACTTCTTCTCTATCCACCAGATGGTCCTTGGTATGTCCGGTGGGTTGATGATGATATGTACGGGAGAACTGCATATTTGTGCTCTCTCTCCCCCTTCCTGCCGCCCCTTTCTTCCATCAAAGCATTATGATATCCATAGGTAGATAAAAGGAAGCAATAAAGACATTCATTCCAGTTGAAGCTGATTCTGCCAGTAGCACAAATACAAATGGGCAGCTGGCTGTGTGAGTGTTGGGTCTTCGAGCTTGCCTTGTTTTCTGTGGCAGGTAAACATCGGAGAATCCCCTTTTCTCCCTGTCTGCACATCTGCCCCTCTTCTCCTCTGCCTCTTTTCAACCTCACTTCTGACATCTCACCACCCAACGCGAGATTATCTCTGTCACTAAAAGCTATTAGGAAACTGCTGTGCGTGAGTGTACTCCATGCCCATTGTGTGTTGAGTGTTATCAACCCCATTACCGCGCCCTTTAGCTAATTATACTAACCAGCGCTTAGAACGCGTCTTTCTCATAGATAGGCAAAGAGAACACAGAGCTCCTGTGAAAGCAATCCTTCATCATATATACCTCTGTATACCAGTCCAGCAGACATCAATGCCTGGAGACAACGGCTTAGCCATGAGCAGGACAGCATCTTCCTCCAGCATCCAGGTGGCGGATCTCTCAGGGCCACCACCAACACCAGCCTTAGTTCCTCCAGCAAAGGCAAAGAGCGTGTCTCCAGCTCCCGATGTATCCCCAAAGCCTTTGCCGGCCGAAGGAGCTGGAGCCGGAGAAGCAGAAGACGGGCCAGGTGCTGAGAAGTTCATCATGCATCCCACCAGCGTATATATTGTCATCTCAGAGCCCAAACACCAGAGTGAGAAGTTCCACTGGGGTATCATTGTGGCCCGCGGCCAACAGGAAGGCGTTCTCTACCACCTCGTCTTCGATGGCAGCCGGTGGGAGCTGAAAATCGAAGAGAACAAGGATATCTCTGCGGACAAGGCCGTCATCCTCTTACTGAAAGTTGGAGACGTGCCTGAAGTCTCTCGGCAATGGATCGAAGCTATTCAGGAGTGCATCACCACTGCAAATGTCCCCCGAGCCACCATGGGAGATATTTCCTGCCGTACCTTTGCCCTGGCTGCCACCTACGAGCTGGGCAATGGCGGCTTCATCAAGATATACCCGAACTGGAACAAAGTGAAGGGTATCGAGAGAGAGGCGTATCAGTTTGCCTGGCATGCCGGCAACCTTGGACGCCGTCTGGTAGTTGCTAGCCAATGGAGTGGCCTTTGAGTGGTCTATATGGTGATGACCTTAACGGTATAACTATAAAGAGGCCGCAGTGCAGGGGCTGATATGCAGCATCAGCCACATATAACTATATGACTTACGATAGATATATACATTACCAGAGCTGCTAGAAGGGATAAAGGGGGTTTATAAAGGGATGGACAATGGTCAAACAGCTGGCTATGAGGATGGTGTTTTTCTTACTGTTAGCTATTCACAGTGTTATCTAGTTATTAGCCAGCTATCTGCGGCATGAAGACGACTCTATTTATTCTTATCTCAACGTCAGTCTATCGGCCTCACTTCAATACCAAGCAGTATCCTGCTATCTGCACCTCCATCCACACCTATATCTGCCTTATGTATCAACCCAACAGCCTCTATGGCAGCTCTATATCCTGGCTCTGCAGACTGATTGGCCGGTCCTGTTGCTGGGCCGGCCAGCGAGCAGCGCCTTTTCCCGCGAAAAGATGCGGCTTCGAGGAAAAACAACAACAACAACAACAAAACAACCAACCAAACATTCGTCCTGCGACCAAACACACCCGCCTTTACCACCTTTGCCCTGTTCGTGGCATAGAATTGACCGTCTAGGCGGCCGACACGTCGCTCTCTAGCTTTTCGACGAGCCGCCATCGTCCTCCTTTCTACCGGTTGGGCGTTGTTTTGGTGGTGCCGCTCCCCCCACACTCCACTCGCGCTGCACGATAATCGGATAAAAACACCAAAATTACTCGAAGAATCCGGGAGATAGAAAGGAAAAGAAGAAAAAGAAAGAACCGAGAGAAGCAAGAATACCTTTCCACGCACGCCGTTGTGATAGCTGTCGACGGCTCTACCACATCTTCTCGCAGCCTGGAGTGAGCGTCCGTCATGATGGAGGGCGCCCTCGACCCTGAAACACTCTACACAAAGCAGAACTGCATCGGTATATCCCCCCTCTCTCAGAACCCGGAATCCGTTTGCAGAGACGGCTATCTAACGTATCCTTCTTTTCGTTAGGCGGAGGAAGCTTTGGGAGGGTTTACAAGGGGTATGGTTCCCTGTGCGCTTGTCTATTGAGATACCGGACAATATAACTGACGTGATTTGTACCCTCACAGAGTCGACAAGAGAACCGGTCAATCAGTTGCGATCAAGATCATCGACGTCGAAAATGCAGACGATGAAGTCGAGGATATCATACAGGAGATATCGATCCTGTCAGAGCTCAATTCCCCCCATGTCACGAAGTACCACGGCTCATTCCTCAAAGGATCGGACCTTTGGATCATAATGGAATTCTGCTCGGGAGGGAGCTGCTCAGATTTGATGCGTGCAGGGCGCATATCGGAGGAATATATCATGATTATCCTTAGAGAACTGCTTTTGGGGCTCGATTACTTGCATAATGACAATAAACTACACCGTGATGTTAAAGGTATGCCCGACAAAAGCTTCATATAAGTGACATTTCCTTTTGCTAACTCGCATATGTAGCTGCAAATGTGTTACTTACGGCCAGCGGACAGGTCAAGCTGGCTGACTTTGGCGTTTCCGGTCAACTTTCCGCTACAATGACCAAGAAAAACACCTTTGTTGGAACCCCCTTTTGGATGGCCCCGGAGGTCATCAAACAGTCGGGGTACGACCACAAGGCTGATATCTGGTCACTGGGTATTACGGCGATTGAATTAGCTATGGGCGAGCCACCACTTTCCGATATCCATCCCATGAAAGTCCTCTTTCTCATTCCAAAGAACGCCCCGCCCACTCTCCAAGGTGCTTTCAGCAAATCATTCAAGGACTTTGTTGATCTTTGTTTACGACGTGACCCAAGAGAACGGCCGAGCGCAAAGGAGTTACTTAGGCATCCGTTCGTGAAACGAGCAAAGAAGACGACGTATTTGACCGAACTCATAGAGCGGTATGAACGGTGGTTTGCAAAGAATGGCAATCGACTTCCAGATGATGACGAAGACGATGCATATCACCAGCAAGAGCAAAACCAACCTGCCATGGCTGGAGGTGATGATGATTTATGGGATTTTGGCACCGTACGCCCTGCTGGAGGAAATAGAGCTGCGGGACTGCGTGCCATGAATGAAGCTGCAGCAAACGCAAGAGCACAAGTTCCCAACATGCACTCTCGTGCTCAGTCAAGCAGCGGCTGTCTTCCTACATCTCAGGAAAACATACCCAGAAAGATGTCGAAAGAAACTGTCAAGAATCCCCCGTCACCGCAAAGACGGAATTTCCCCTCAGAAACACCCCCGGCAACGCCAAATAGTCAAGTATCTCGGGTACCTCTGCCAACGCCCCAGGTTCCTCAGACACAAACACCGAGACAGTCATCTTACCATGATCAAGTAAAGACACCCCTAGGTTTCGGGAAACCACAACCTCCGTTGCCAGCGCAAGAGGAGGAAAGCTCAAGTACACATGATTACGATCGAGCCCTCCAACGGTCACTGGCACAGGATCTTAATTTCTTGAAGCTGGCAGAGTCTCCCAACAACACACCTACACAACCTCCCCCGAAACCTCCGGCCCCAGAACAAATTCATAGGAAGCCCGCCCCGATGCAACTACCAGAAATACCACCTTTTAAGGGAGCATCGAGTTCGCCAACACCTCAAGCTTCCAAGCCTCCGGGGCAATACCCTGCAGCGCCTCTCTCGGCCCATCCTTCATCTACTCCTTCATCATACCAACAACAGCAACACCCGCTTCCCTCTACCCGTCCCCAGCCACCAGTCCCGTCAACACCAGAACGCAGTCCTACTCATCAAAGTTCGCGCGACTCGCTAGACTCCGTCTCCTCTCAATCCACCGTTCATTTCTCTTCTCAAGATCAACCCAATCCTAATGAACCGATTACCGCGCTAAATGGTGTTATACTACCAGCTTTAGAAGCTGCTCTCCATCGCCGAACCTATGCCCTCAATTCCATGTGTCGAGTTCAACCAGGTACCCCAGTCAGCCAACGACCATCTACAGAGCAAGTACAACGCCAAGTATACGCCCACGAAAAGCTCAAGAGGCTGGTAATCAAAGCTGCAGGCATCTTAAAGGAGATTGAACGATGGGATAACGAAGCACCACTGGGCATGGGTGGGGACATCAATGCCTTCCTTGAAGGATTTTTAGAAGAAGTCCTCGTCCGCGTTGAGCCGGAGGAAGACCCCTCTGAATGATCGATTCGACATCGCCATATTTCTTTCTCATTTCCTTGGGTGTGAGGTGTTTTACCTATTTTCTGCCTGGGAGTTTGGTTATTTCCCTGGCTGCTTCCTGGCTCTTTTGCTCTACGACGTTCCCTGCGTATTTTGGTTTCCTTTCCCCACCAGCTTTCGTGAGTGTTTTATGCGAGCATGAAATAGCCTGATCCTGATATGTGCTTATGTTTTTAGCTATGCTTATGATTCAGATATGATAAACGAAGAAAGAAATATATCACCCGTTCATACACTTTTTGCACAGAGTCCATCAAGCACACCAGTCGAGTTTATTACTTTTTTTGGATACGGGATCAGCAACAAGCCTCGTTTTTCTGGCGGGAGCTAATGCAGAATTAACTTGGCTTGATAAAGTTACTCGTAAGACTATACGAGACATACCCTAAACAGGCACATTTTCGCAAAGAAGCTCCCTCAACGAGGCCGTGAGTGTTTTCATACTTATGGACGAGCAATTTCAACTGGCCCTCCTTATGAAAATGAAGGCCAATGTTTCACTCTTAGACCTCATTACATTTCCACGTCATGGTGGCTCAGCGAAAGTTAATTTAACCATCAAGTCATCTCTCCCATGGTGTGTCTTAAATACCTCGAGTGATAGCTCAGGAATGGTACTCAACCTACAAGGCCGTCTACTTATACCCTACTTTTTACTATCTGCTTTCTGGCGACCAAATCGGCTGGAAATGTCCCTATCGGCTCTCAGCCTCCTGGCTATTTTTGCTTTCCATGCCCTAGGTGATACTCCTCCCCAATTCACCAGGAGCTTTCCGCCAGTCGACTTGGGATATGCGATCCATAAACCCACATATATCAATATCACTACTTCTGGTCTTGCGGTTGCAAAATACAATAATATCCGCTATGCCCAGCCACCAGTAGGTGAGCTTCGGTTCCGCAAGCCAAAGACACCCCCGCCACAGGCGGACGGTATACAAGACGGCACTCAATACCCTTCTACGGACTGTGTCAGCAGTGCCTATCCTGGAGTTCCGTTTCCAGGGCGAAATGGGACTACCTGGGGCCAGGAAGATTGCTTGTTCTTGAACGTGCAGGTACCAGAAGGTGTTAAGGAAGGTGATCGGGTTCCCGTCCTGCACTGGATTCACGGAAGTGGATATGCATTCGGAAGCAAGGATACCATAGGTATTACCGTGGACCCAGAGGGCCTGTTTGATAAATTGCAGAGAGATGGCGAGAAGTTCGTTTTCGTTACGAGTAACTACCGGTATGTTTTTCTTATGATGAGCCCTCGAAAAGGGATAACCTCTAACGGTATTTATAGTCTCGGTCTTTACGGGTGGATGTCCAGTCCTGAAGAGGATATGACCGCCAACATTGGGCTGCACGATAGCCTTGCTGCGGTGCAATGGACAAAGGAACACATATCAAAATTCGGTGGTGATTCTGACAGGGTTACAGTCATTGGACAGAGTGCAGGAGCCGGTATAATTAACCTTATGTTGACTTCCTATGGCGGGAAGGGTGACCTTCCGTTTTCCCAGGTACGTCTGATACCTTTGTAATGTGCGTTTTATACATTTGTTAACATGACCTAAAAATGATAGGCGGTTGTCCAATCTCCAGCAATTATGCCCCGGAGAGATGTAGCTTCCCGCAGACAAGACGTTTACAACCAGGTTCTCAAATCCACGAATTGTACCAACCCTACCTGTCTTAGAGCCGCTTCACCGGAAGTTCTTAAAGCAGCAAACCACCATCTGATAGTTGAAGTGCCAACCGGAACCGGAGGGGCCTCGTTCGGTCCTGGTGTTGGGTTCTCTCCCCTAGTTGATGGAGATATTGTCCCGGATGAACCTATGATCCTCCTCGAACAGGGAAGATACCATAAGGAAGTAAAGCGAGTCATAGCCGCAAATACCGCGTTCGAGGGAAATGGTCTTAGTTCTGATACCAATATGCCTGACGGATTCCCCGACTACGTTCGAATAAACTTTCCTACTGCAAGTAATGAGACCGTCCAGCGAATTCAAAACCTATTCCCCTATCCACCTGGCAAGCCCGAAATGCTAGCATGGGACTGGATCACCTCTGTTGTGTTTGCATGCCATTCGACCAGTATTGCAAAGGCATACGGATCTAAAGCTTACCGATATGTGATGCGTATTCCTCCGGCAACTCATGCCTTAGATCTACTCTGTAGGTTTTATGGAAATTCCATATTCTTTTCATGATACTGATAATATCTCGCCTCTAGATTTCTTCTTCGTCGATAATACAACAACTCCAGTTTTAAGTGAGGTTACGGCAAGGCAAGCTCAAGGATATCTAGGCCAATTCATTCATGGCAAAGATCAGAAGAATGGTTCACTTCCTTCGCTTGGCCATGAACCCACACCAGCATGGGTACCTTACGGCTCACGATTTCACACCATGGACATTGTTGAACACGGATTTGAGCTCAAAACCGACCCTTGGGAAACAAACGGAATTTGTCGAACCTTACTTGATATCATTAAAGATCCCAGGAATGGCAATTAGCTTCAACAGGGGTACATATGATGGTGTTATCTTCTATGGAGGGGTACTAGGTTCATAATGGCCTATTCTTATATTTGAAAGCCAACGGAAAGCTGCTAGCAGAGGTGGGTTCTTCCAGAGGCCTTGGACGGGATTTGATATAGAGCTGAAAATTTCCAGTGGTAGGGTGAGGTTGATGCAAATGCAGAAATTAATACAACTTGATTTTGATTCATGAGCTGCGTTAACATTACAGTATGTTCAATGAGTAGAATACATATGCTGGAAACCTGGCTATCAAAAACAAATGCATTTTTGGGGGAATATCTTCATTCCAGATATTGAACTACGCGGTAGCTCTAAATAACCAATCTGTCTCCGGTGTAGGGACCATATAGTTAGTGATATTAAACTCGTTTGTTGCCTGTGCTGCAGCCGCAGCACCAGCGGCGGCAGCATTAGCCAAATCAGTCACTGATATTCCCCCGACCGTCGCAGTCACAGCAGAGGAGTTTGCCTGTGGCTGGGCAGATGGGACCGTTACTTGTTGTGCTTGATCCATTACCGCTAAGCCATTTATTGGCGGAGCAGCAGTGTTTCCTCCTCCTGGGAGAGGGATGCGTGGTACATTGAAGAAATCAAAGACATCGAGATATTCAAGTTCATGAGGGTTGAGGTTGCGCTGTGGTGCAATAGGAGTGGCATTTGTGGCTTTCGGGGTAATCAATCCGCCTACAGATGCTATGGATCCTCCAGCGACTGGTGTATGGCTAGAACTGCCAGCCCTTGGGGGTTGGTGAGATATTAAGAAGTCCAGATCAAAAGCACACCGTCTCATGTCAGCTAGAATCTTTACTGACGATGGGGCTGTACGGTTTGCATCCGCAGAACCAGATTGTTCGAACTCGTTGTATTCATCCAAGACTCGCTGTAGGATCTCGCTGTATCGTTTTGCAACTTTCCAGTACTGACCCATGCGGCGAAGTGAGTCAACGAAGAAAGTAATTGCAGGATCTAGTGTATGGGCTACAGTTGAGCCGTTAACCAGAAGGAGGCGAGCTGACACCCAGAGCGTAAATGCAAAAGGGGGGCCAAATTTGTCAAGGACGTTGTTGTCTACGACAAACCCAGCGATTGTCCGAATTCGTTCAACAGCGGCCAGACACCGCTGGATGGCGCCATATGAGGGTGTGAAAATGGGAGAGCGCGTAGTTGGATAGGCAGCCGAGGAGTGCAGCCGGATTATAGTACTGCATTAAAGTCAGTGGATACAAGAGTTAGGGACTCGACAAGACACATACGTTTGGTATGCTGCATGCAACATAATCCAGCCACAATGCACGGACCTAGACTTCGAAGGCGCCAAATATCTTGTGGACATGGCGAATGAATACTCTTTCGGTAGTTGGTATTCCCATGCAGTCAGTTCATTATCCAGCTTCCGGTAGGTGGATTGCCACTGATTAACATCCGCTATTGCACTGATATCAACGGGCTGTTTGAGAAACAAATGTATTTTTGACAAGATGCCTAGAACTTCCATGTAGAATCCGAAGGAGCCCATATATTGGCTGCGGCTTACGCACTCCAGCTGTTCATGGGTATCCAAGAACCTCGTTTCAACTGGTTGGTTTTTGACGAAATATTCGTCCTTGCATGGTAGTTTCCGGTCCACTTCCTTAATATCTAGTGCGAAATCGAAGGCCGTGGCTATTGTAGAATACCTATCTAATAGATAGGCAGCCCAGAATAGCCGCCGCCGACCCTCATCTTCCACCCAATTCCTAGAGTCAGGAAGGATGTTGGCCCTAAGTGTATATATGGATGGAAACATGGTTGCAACTAAAGATGATGTAGCTTCTACGGCTAGGCCGAGTTGGACAACAGATCTAGCGATGACTGCAAGTAATTTCCATCCTGGCGGGCCATTCGATGTTCCAACGACGTCCAGCGTCAAGATCACCAGAGCCTGTAAGGCCGTGACTGAGGAATTATCCAAGCCATATAATATAACTTCTGTTTGCACACGTCATGGTATCGTTTCTTATTTTCTTCATTGAGCCGTGTATCTTTTGAAAATCGCAGAGTCGTTGCAACTATAGCGTATAACAGCATCCTATCCTCTTCACTTAATGGCGATGGTCCAAAGAGCGTATCCAAAGTTGTTCTCCGGTGAAGTATAGGGAGCCAGCCATTAATATGCTCAAAGAAAAGGTCGACCAATGAATATAAAAGATCATAGGGCGGGAGATCGGCATTATGATCGGCAAGGGAAACACTATCTTGATTTGAAGAGTAGGTAGGAATCCTCAAGGATGATGAGTCGCTGGTGTTAAAATGAGGCTGTTACGTTTCCCCTGGTGGCGGCGGTACCTTTTGTGGAGAAAGGCCATTTTGAAGCTGAATTGGCGAAGTAGTATTGAATGACCTATCCGATGGCGTAGACGTGGTTTGCTCTTGGTTATATGTTGCTACAGCCGAGATACGGCGGTGCGCTGTAGGGAAATTTGAGGCTGTTGAATGGGGATATAGAATATCCTTTGGGCTGGGTTCGGGAGCAGCAGAGCGGTCTGACGGAGAACTATACAGTGTAGTCGTCGGTGGGCACTGGTTCGATTGGACTTCATTTCCAGGTCGCTGCTGGGCTTGTATTATATGCGTTTCTATGAGCCGTGCTTGCGCTTGGATAACTTCCTCTAAGCGGTCTAGGGAGAAGAAAAATCAGTCGTACGTCTCGGAGAATAAGGGGAAGTTTCACGCAATTCTACATAGGGGATACGTTACCTAGTCGTTGTTCGAGCTCCCTTCCATAACCAGCTCTCAATCCTGGTTTCTTTCGTTCTTTGTATTCGCATGGATGGCCGTTCCGAGCACACCAGCCACAACTGGGTTGAGAGCGATCTACCAGGTTGCGATGAGTTGTGTGTTCTATTCAGTTCGGAATTGGTCTATACGCACCACATTTCACTTTCCTCTGCTTACAAAGTTCGCATCTGGGTTGGTCAGCGACAGCATCATGAGTTGGCTCCTTAAAAGCGTGAAATCGAAAAAAACAATAGCAAGGAAGGTGGGTTGATATACGAGACCATCACCGGACGTTTCCTTTTCAATGACTGATCCGAGGACTGGGAAGTTTTTCGATCCGCTGAGCCGGCGTCATTGCCGCTATCCTGCCCCGACCAGGCGTCTTCGGGACTTTCGACTTCATCGCGATCGTCCGCCCGTCTACCGGTCTTGACCTGAGCAGCCGGAGGCGAGGTGTTGGCATTTCTGAAGCCGTGTGGAGAAGGAAAAGCATGCTCCATCGGCGCACATTAACAAGCACTCCGGAGAGCCGATCCGAAGTACGGAGTAGCGGTACGGGTTGGGTGATGCGCAGTCGGACTGCTGTCGATATGACCAAAATTCCCAGTTAACCAGGCCAGGCTAAGTTAGGGGAGAGAGCTGATGGAGAGATCTCGTCTGGCACAGTCCGGCGCCAGTCCCTAAACCAAGTCGCAGCGGCATCGTCTTGCCAAGGCCTCACCCCAAGCCATGTGAGGGAATATGCCGGGAAGAGAAAAGGCGTGCCGACTGGTTGGCGGAGTCTAAAAAGGTCTGATGGCTTCAGCCCTTGACCTGGGCCTTTGAGGGTCGAGCCCTTGACAGGCCAGTTGGTTTCCGGGGGCGTGGTGGCTGATCCCACCCGAGACCACGTCGTGATCCTGGGTGCACATGTCCTTCCATTGGCTGCACCATGGATAAAATAGGACCTGGACAAGGCTCATATCTCGACTATATTCGAGCTTTAAAAGGCTCTTTGTGATAGCTTGACAGAATTCATTATTATTCAGTCTCAGAATAACTAATCAGTTACTCCGTATGCGGTACAGAGTACGCTCATTTCTCCAGACCCCAGATGAAAATCGGAGTTTTCATATTATCATGGGAGACGCCGGAAATTACCAACCAGGCATTAGTGCTCATTCGAATTTGACGCTGTCATGGTACTAGTTAATGAACCGGAGGATATTCTCAGAAACTGTAATGTTACACCAGATTTCGATATCTGAGGGCGTACATGTCTCAGGAAAATTCGGAGCAGAAATATCATTCTCGGGAAGTATTAGCGAATTTTCCGCCGCCCCATTATTTTTTTAAGGTACGTTGAGGATGTCGCGGCGTGGGCTTGGGCTATTTTTGAAATATTATTTATCAGAAGCCCAGGATCTGGGATGAAAAGGTCTCGCTCATCGAGTCTGCCATGGCTCATCCTTGGCCGCATGAGTAGAAAGATATTCGGGGAAAACAACCTCCTTTTTCGACCGGACAACTTCGTTGGCCCGTTGCTCGCGTCAATTCTACCCGGAGGGCAATGAGCTGTCCGTCTATTTCGCTATCCATTATTATCGATTGCTGTCTCGCATGGGGTGGTCTTTCGCGTGGCTTTTTGGACTTTCGCTTCTGGAAGACAATCTGAGGACCAGCGCCAGCAGCTTCATGGCCTGGAGCCTGGCCAATTGATGCTAACACTGCTGAGATCCTTATAGCTGAGCCCATGCAGCCGAGTTAGCTGGTTATCAGGACGTTCAAACGGGGGACAACAAGCGATATCTCAATATTGCCATAGCTCGGACCTCGCGAGATCAAAGCCTTTCGCGTGCTGGACCCATGAATTGACCTTGCCCCCACTCTCTATGGCGAACCGGGCGAAATAATAGACGAAAGCTGACCCTGTCTCAGCGTTCAATCGCAGAGCTGATGGTGATGTTGAAGAGTTCGAGGTTGAAGAAAAAAAGGTTGCCGTTTACAGGTGCTTACATAACTAACTAACTACCGTCTCGAAAGGGGCAGCCAACTTTTTTTCAACCTCGAGAATTCAGCATGAGAAGAAATCAACATCTCGCTTCTTCCTTCAATTGCTGTCTATTGAGACCCAAAAACACGTCAGGACCCAGAATTCTCCGGATGTGAGATGTCAAAGTGACGCCCGCATCGAGCCTGGCCTTAACTATGGGTGGCGTTTTGTTTTCAGTGGCATCCTGGTTGGGTGCATTTTCAACCTCTAGAGGTGACAGGAGGGCTTGCTCCCAGCTAACTACTGAAGGATCGATTCAAACTCACATATCAAGCCCATATTTCTTCTTCTTCGAGGATTGATGTAGGGTACACGATCATTCATTCAGCATGACTTGGCATCGATATCACGAGTGCATTGACGAGGCATTGATACGACCACATTCCTCCAGCAGCGTTATCAGGCGAGCCTACCTATCAACTCGGGTTGTCAGTTAAGATCCAAATAAACGTGGTGATTCACGGTGGATTCGGGAGAATAGGGCGGAGAACAACCTTGATGTGCTGCATAAGCTAGCGGAAAACATTGTACGGCAATGTGGAAGCGTGATATGTCATCTTTCCAAGCTCGAGCACCATGGATACATTTGCAACCTCCCCGGATTTCACACCAATCGTCGTCTCCTTCTAGTCACCAGGAATCTGGAGAAACTCTCCACGGGGCAGGCGGAAGGCCTCCTCGGTACAACGTCCCCTCGGTGTATCTTCACCCCGAGAAGCTCTGGGGCCATGTGGAGAATGGAACCTCTAATTCACCAAAGACAACAAGTTCGTATGCTTAAGCTTGCGAAGCGGCTAAATTATCGCTACAATTGCTGTCTTCACCCCCAAAGTTCGCTAAAGCCCATGGCCATATCTGTCCAATATCTACGGGGAGCACTCTGGTTGATATGAAAATTATTAGGGTATACCCGGGCATTGCGCTATTTACTCCGATCCACCAAGGACAGGTTTCCGCCTCTCATCAGCTTTCTCGGTGAATAACACGAGTTCATACCGATACTTATCCACATGGTGAAATGTGGCTACAAATTGAGGAGTTATATATACTTCCTGAGGATTCCATTATTCGAGGACCTCCAGCAAGTCAGAAGTTCTCAGATGCATAGAATTCCAACCCTTGCTATCCAGATCTTACCAACACGCCGTCATGGCTACCATATTTCCTACTATTAAGACGGTCAACACTTTTATTATTGATGGTGTTGGTTCGGGAGGCGATTATCACAATGTATGCTGCTATCTCTTCTCAAGTGAGGTGTACTGTTTGTACATTAACATTTTATTTCAGGTGAAAGGTGGACATTGGCTCATTGACTCTCCCATTGCAACGCCGATGGCACGATGGGAGCAATACCGAAGCTCTCGAACTAGCTGGGGTATAAATGTCCTGGGGTCCTTTTGCGTTGAAATAGAAGCAACGGATGGTACCAAGGGGTTTGCAACCGGGTTTGGAGGCCCCCCAGCATGTTGGCTAGTGGCACAGCATTTTGAAAGATTCCTGATAGGTGCAGGTATGGATCGACTGATTTTATGTATTTTCTCTCTTACAGTACTGTCTCGCATCTGACAAATTTTTACACAAGACCCAAGAGATACCAACAATACATTCGAAAAGATGTACCGGGCCTCCATGTTTTATGGGCGCAAAGGCCTCACAGTCGCAGTCATATCAGTCATAGACCTAGCTATCTGGGACTTGCTGGGGAAAATCCGCAATGAACCAGTTTACAAGCTTATCGGTGGTACAACCCGATCCCGCCTGGATTTTTACTGCACTGGCCCAGAGCCGGGTTATTCAAAGGCAATGGGATTTTCCGGTGCCAAAGTAGCGCTCCCCTATGGCCCTGATGAAGGTGCAAGTGGTCTAGCTAGGAACGTGGAATATCTACAACAACAACGGGAGAAGGTCGGCCCAAACTTCCCGCTACGAGTCGACTGTTACATGTCTCTGAATGTTCCATATACAATCGAGCTGGTCAAAGCTTGTGAGGCCGCAGGTATCAACATTGACTGGTGGGAGGAATGCTTGTCCCCCGATGATGTCGACGGTCAAGCATTGCTCAAGAGGGCTCATCCAACTATCAAGTTCACCACCGGTGAACATGAGTACTCTAGATATGGCTTCCGAAAGCTTATTGAGTCCCGAAATCTAGATATTGTACAGCCAGATGTTATGTGGGTGGGAGGAATGACGGAATTGCTGAAAATATCTGCAATGGCAGCTGCTTACGATATTCCCGTTGTCCCACATGCTTCTGGCCCTTATTCTTACCATTTCGTTGTGTCTCAGCCGAATTCACCATTCCAGGAATACCTGGCTAACTCACCTGACGGAAAGACTGTACAGCCTGTATTTGGCGATTTGTTCCTGAACGAACCGATTCCTTCCAAAGGTTATCTTGATGTCAGTGCCTTGGATGAGCCTGGTTTTGGGCTTAAGTTGAATCCCGCTGCAAAGCTCATACCCGCACGTTATATCCTTACCCCTGGCCCACAGGTATCACTTCGCGACAATAGCATCGCTTCACGAAAGGATGGAAAGCATGGTAGCGAAAATTCTGTCCCAATAACCAATGGGACTGTACCATAGCACTAACTATATCGCTCCGATGGAAAGTATTGTTGGCTGTTATCTCTGCTTTTTCTCAGCGGCTACACCTATATACCTATAAATATGTAACACCTGAGAACAGTATCATACTCCGGATACCTCCGCCTTTCGATGATTTATTGTTTGCTCTTGACAATTGCAGTTCCAGGTGGAGTTCCCAGCAGATGTTAAACTTGCAAGTCCCCTTAACCAATGTAGAAAGAGGCTGTGATTAATGCATGTGTACCGTATATATTAAATAACTTCAAGGACTCAATACTTAAAAACTAGAGCCAAATTAACGACAAACAGTCGGCAATTGTTATACAAATCATCAATTCGACTTCTGAATAAACCCGCTTCGAAGGAACGGGATCTCCACGCCAACAACCCTGCCAGCCTCCTTATCAACAATAAACACGATCCTGTCCATCGGTACGCCAGCATAATATAGCCAATCCACGGTCTGCCATGACGTACAAAGAGCCTCAAGTTTTCCTAAACCCGGGAGATCAGATGCTTGTTCATTGACATTTGGAATTAAGTCAAAATTAATTCGCCAGTCCTGTTCAACGAGGCTCTTGTCGTTCGTAGCAAGCCTCTCTATGCCAGTAGGATATACCCTCATTTCCGAAGCAAGCTGGCCCACTGTAGAAAGGGTAGCAGACCAAATTTTGCGAATACCTTCAAGTATATCAGAATCGTTGCGTGAGAGGGATTCCAGCTTAATGCCCGTGCCGTTATCGATGATCGTTTTAAGCTTGATAGGGGCATTATCTGTTGCGTCTTCGTTGTCACCTTTCTGGCTCGTATATTCACCGACATACATTCCTGCCTGTTTGCGAGCCTCATCTTCAACAGCAGGAAGTATAGCACTGAGCACGGCCTCATTGATGATATATGCAGCTTTAGAATCTAATGGCCCGGCTGTAGAAAGAACAACACCAACTCCGTATTGATCAATCACGTTGATTTGGGAAATATAACCCGGTGCACCGCCACTTTTGCCATATATATCAATCGTATGAGGATATTTAGGAGTCATACCAGAAGTCCGTAGAATCTCCCAAGGTTGGCCGACGAGAGTGTTAAGTGATGAGGTAGCAGATCTTGGTTGGAGCCATCTCCTTGTAGCTTGGGGACTTTGCAGGATGGAGTAATCGAGGATTTTGGTGACAAGGGTGGATAGATCGTTCAACGAGGAGTACAAGCCGCCGCCACTTGTATACCAGTTAGCAACCTGTCAAGTTAAAAGGAAGCCACTAAACATACGGAGCATTATATCCATAATCGGCACCCCATCCCTGCTGCTCAACATTGGGGATAACCGCACGCTTATCTTCTCCAGGAGAAAAACCAGTGTTTCTTAGACTGAGTGGACGTATGACTTGTTCCTCTAGCATCTGAGCATAATCTTTACCAGTCTCATTGGCAAGTGCTAGGCTAAAAAGCGTGAACGATAGCTGGGAATAAACCGGCCGTTCGTAAGGTTCAGCAACCGGATGAGAGTCGACAAGCTCGGTAAGAAGCTCTGAGAAGTGATTAGTAGATGAAATAATAAGATCTCTGTATCTACAAACCTTCTGGTGTACACCCTTTATTCAAGTCTGCAATTCCACATGGAGGGTAATCACTCTTGTTTAGGGGTGGGAATCCAAGTGCTCGATATAGGGGTTCTAGAAAGTAAAATTGAAGTGCCCCAACTAAATAACTGTCAGTATTATAATCCATGCAATCATTCGATACGAAGACGAACTGGTATTAGCTGGAATCCCAGAAAGGTGTTCTGAAAGAGAGAGCAGGGAGATATTATCCCAATCAATCGGCGAAGATGCATTTTTGAGCTGCGGAAGGTATTTCGTGATTGGATCTTGTAGATCCACGTCCGACTTCAAAAGAAGCAAGTCAGAGAATATTTTTGATACCGATCCAATCAGATACTGCGAGTTACTGTCCAGATGCTTGGTCCCATTGACATTCTTCTCCGCAAGATGATGGTATTCCCACAGGATGCCGGTTTTTGGATCTCCGCCGTTGGGAGAGACGATAGAAACTGAGAACGACGTATTGGCGATATCCCAGCCTGCTTTTATTCTCCCTGAGACTGCATCATCCAGAGATCGAGAAAGCCTCTCAGTGGCATCTTTGATATTCTGTGACTGGTTCAGCTCTGTTGGACGCGGCAGCAATGCTCCGCTAGGTACACATCCTGGGACGGAGGCAGATAAAGTAGTTGCTGCGTATGGCAACAAAAGCCATAGAAAGCAAGCAACCATGATAGATTGTGGGTATCAAATGAAATCTGAATATAATATCTTCGTTGACATGAAGAACTTCCCTGTCTTCAACGTTCTGTTATGCCCATTTTATATCCCATATCCATACCTATCAGCCAAAGCCAAAGACGGTAATTCGTCGTTTACCAGACAGCCCACGGAATCCTATGGCCGAGACCTAGCATTTTTTCATCTCCAGCTAACGATGATCATGGAGAGTGGCTCAAGTAGTGAGTTAGCGGATGGAGAAATATGGAGAAGCGCAGTGTTTATCCTTGCCACAAAAGTCAAGAAAGCGTATTCGGCTTCTCGTATTCCAGCCGCTAGTCGACTTCTCATCCACTTTTTATATTTAGCCCTGGCTAATGAGCCTTTCTTAATTCTGGTATAAGTTTTTTGTTGCATCATCAAGACCAAAGATGGCTTCTCCAAGGCTGCTGAGCGAGAAGGTGGCTGCAATAACGGGGGGATTGACAGGCATAGGACGTGTATGTAGATCCTCTGCTCTGCCTTCCCGAGACCCTGATGTTGACCAGTGGTGGTTACATGCGTGTTTATCCCTATATTCCGGGGTTAGACATGTAACTAACCGTTCAGTGTTTCTTTGACTTAGGCTATTGCTCTAGAGTATATCAGACAGGGTGCCTATGTAGCTGTCAACCATCTCGGGCTGGACCATGAGCAGGAATTGATCTCAACGCTGAAGCAAGAGGTTGCAGATATCCTTGCTTCTGAAAGCAAGAAGATTTCATCTAGTCGAAGGCTCATCACTGTCGCCGGAGACGTTTCGTTGCCAGAGACAGGGACTGATTTCATCAGAGAGACAGTATCGGCCTTCGGTCGACTGGATATTTTCGTCAGCAATGCTGGAATATGCGAGTTTAAAGAATTCTTAGAGTATGTATAGATGGTCCTAACAAGCGGCTGAACAACTGTCTAATACGTGTGATAGGATATCGCCTACACTGTTTGACAGAACTACATCTGTCAACCTAAGTGGTGCATTCTACGTCACTCAAGCAGCTGCTCGGCAAATGGCACTATCCCAATCTCCTCCAGGAGGGTCGATAATTGGAGTTTCATCCATATCTGCCCTTGTTGGTGGTGGCCTTCAAGCCCACTATACCCCTACCAAGGCTGGTATCTTGTCATTAATGCAATCCTCTGCCGTAGCTCTGGGGAAATTTGGAGTCAGATGCAATGCCTTACTGCCCGGAACAATACGGACGGGACTCAACGAGGAGGACTTGAAGGATGACAAGAAAAGAACGTACATGGAGGATAGAGTGCCTCTTGGCCGTCTAGGTGAACCCAAGGATTTAGCTGGTCCTGCTGTGTTCCTAGCCTGTGATGAACTGAGCGGTTATGTGGTGAGTGTAATTTGGCAGATTTTCTATCATAAACTAGACTGACTTGGAACTTAGACGGGTGCACAGCTTCTAGTTGACGGAGGGATGTTTGTGAATCTTCAATAATAGTTCTGTACCACCAAGATGTCTACTCCTATCACCGGTTGAAACGACGGATCGTACGATCTTCCTCTGACGTCAATTATCCGCTCGGTGTATCTATCACCGAGACTAATCGGAAGCTTAACTTGACAGCTCAATCCAACAGGATAGCTTTATAGTAGTACGAGGATGGGAGGAGGCCTGTCAACTGGTTGGTGGACTATAATGACTTAAAGACTACCAAAGTTTTCAATAATATTTCCAAGCCCGAGATAGTAACCAAGTCATTCATTTCATATTATACATAATTCTCTCTACCTAAACCTGATTAACCTAAATAGCTTCGGCATCGTAATCTATAAGAGCTATGAAGAGCTATAACCCGACAAACAAAATTGTGTCTAAGACGCTGAACGACGTGAACGATGGAATAAGGCTCGGGAACAGCCGCGAACCAGTTAAGTATAAACCAACAGAAAAATCAAGCAAACATGAATGTCCAAACATGTCCAACGCCCTAAATTCATAAGCAGAACCATACTCGAATTCATTTCATTCCCTAAGAACCCTTGATTTGATTTCCTCGATCTCAACCACTAATTTGTTTATTTTCGCCTGCATAGCCTTGGCTTTCTTTTCGAATCCCGGGATCACAGTTCCGTCATCCCTCTTGATTGCATTAAGTTGCTTCTGGATATCCTGCCCCAGTGACTGTATTTCATAAAAATATTGGTATTCGACTTTCCCTTCGAAACATATCCCGTATCCTTCGCAGTAACAGACATGGTCCTCTGGACACAGTTCTGCAACTCCTGCAAAGACGTACTGCCATAAATATTCCCATACTCGCCCTGATAAGCTATCGGATAACGAGGTTTCGAGAATCCAGTCTCGATAATATATATAAGATTCCCGGGGTATTCGTCGGATCCGATCTGCACTGACTGCGAACTGGGCACAGCAGGGTTGTGAGAGCACCTCAGGGACGTCGGTACCGGGGAATAGCTCTAACCATGAGTTTCCTATCACAGCTGCTTCAGGAATACTTGAGAGGTCGTCACCCCCAGCAATTGGATGGATATGTTCGGGGCAACCGGGCTCTGAATGGCAACGAAGGTTCATATAGCCGTCACGAATGATTTTTTCGCTCCGAAGGCGTTTAACCATCTTTGCAGAATCCGAATCCAAGAGATCATTATTATGCCATGTAGTCAAATGAGCGTGCATAAAAATAGAAACATCAGTAAGGCTATAATATCGGTCAATGATGTACGACAAATAGACCATTACTTCGTGTCCCTTGTTTTTCATCACAGTGAGTGGAGCACTGGAGTTGTTGACAACATAAACGGCCGTCTGTAGGGTTGGATCTTCTCGTTGTAGCTCGTCGACCCAAGTTGTGTTTTCCCTCTGAACGCTCGCTATAACAAGGGTGCGAGTATAATTCTTTCCAGGCTTGACCACACCCGGAACAATAGGGCCGGCTGGTTTCATGCCCCGTTGTCGATATGACTCCAGGGTGCCGTTGAAACTTGCTCGGCCATGTCGCGCAATATTGGTGAGATAATAACCGGACGTATAAATGGCAAGGATGCTGAAGAGAGCAAGGCACGTCAAGCTCTGCAATCGATTTGGTCGCAGTGAGTGTTTCATCGCGACTCAGTATATCTAGGCAACCGAACAAAGAAGAGATATTTCCCATCTAAAATTCTTTTCGTCCTTCCCCCGAGTTATCGATGCTCTCATGTTCCGTTTCCCTCGAGGGAATCGATGGCAGTGCCCATCTCGATGAGATCTTGCGAAGGGGCTGATGCATCGCATCAGCTCCCGCTGATTTCGTAAGAAGGTCGCAAGCAGTCTCGGCTTTGGCGGCTCTTATAAGACATCTTGGCCAATTAGTAGACTGAACTTGCGTTGATCCATGTAAATATGTGGTCCCCGTATAACCAAATGGCCATCATCAACCAATGAAATGTGGGACGGGTGGATGCATCCTGATCGATTGTTGCTGGAGATCCTGCAAAGGAACAGTCTTTACTCCGCAGGTAAATGGAATCGGTGATGGCTGTGTCTTTCGATAACCGGCACATCTACCTGTTGATTCAGGTGTTTCATTCAGAGTTATTCGCATTGGCCAACTTGTAGCGTGCTGGGGAGCTGATTCAAACTCTCTCGTGAATTGTGGCGAAACCAGCAGTTTTTGTTCATGAAATGAGAACCTGAGCATTGTTGTTTTGCGATAATAGTACCTAAAAAGCGTGGAATTGAACTGATTTTGTTGAAGCTGCTTTCTACACAGGATTGGAGCGTTCGAGCTACGAAACTGTGATGTAGATACCACAAATGACGCCTCACGAACAGGGCCAGAGTCGAAAGTCCCAGAGATTGTCGTAACCAAGTGTTGGTGTCTAATGATGAGATATTAGGTAGTGTTAGAACAGTCGTGTGGGTCAAATACCTGATACTTATCAACCCGTTGGTATAAGGAACCGATCTTGAAAAACCATGGCTTTAAGCTACACTAGTATGCTCTTGCTCGTTGCTTGCTAAAGAGTGTCGTTATGACGAACCTCGGAAGAATGATTTGGGTAATAAAATCTGCTTGCTATTCTGTTAAACATAGTAAGCTTCATAGCCTACGGACCTATATGCATGTTACCTTGTCTGCAAAGTTGTAACTGTAACCCCAGAATCGAAAGAACGCCTCCGCGCATGAGCCTGTGGCCACTTCGTACTGAAAGTGACGCTGAGTACGTCTGAAGTATGCACACAACATTGTTTCTACAGGGGCCCATGGGGAATTGGAAGGTTCTTCGCTTTAATATGCCATCACAATTCGTGCACTGGGGGGAAACTATTGCTGTAACCGGTCTATCCAGAAGTATCGTAACCTAACAACTTGCTGGGGTATTCTTCTGATGGATACTCACACGGTGCTTAAGATGCCCAGCACAGCACGCAGGTGACACAAACGAAATGTGTGTTTCCAGGAAGTCGCGCGAAACACTGTGCTCTTTGTCATTGAAATCTCGGTCAACGTTATTTAGTGATCCTATCAAGAAACTGGTTCCCGCTCGCCTTTTCCGGAAAACTGGCCATAAACAGCTGAGAGATATGGCGAAAGAGGAATGATCCGGATTTCTTAATCCCGAGGGCCCGATGCGATCCCTTGTTGATTTCACCTAGGGGCAGAGTATGGAGTATGATGCTGCAGTTTGTCCAGGATAGCGGTGCGAGCCGCGAGTTCGGCTTAACACTGGTGATACGGAACTTATTCCGCTGGAGGTTCTCTGTGCGAGAAACGCTCGGACGGCTTATCACCACGATCCATGGTATAAATGAATTGGATATATCGATACCAAAGGAGCTGAATAGCTTGATAGGACCAGGGTTTTCACTAAAAGGCTTATCATACGAGTTATACCATTCCTGGAAGTTATGATATTGGACCCTTCAGCATTGGACTCCAACTGTTTTCAAGGCATGACAGAATGGAGTTAGCCAGGTATAAAAAAAAAAAAAAAGGGCGGCGGGTGCTGGAGGAAGTTGCATGTGTTCATGACTCAAATCAAATTTTTCATGCAAGCTGTTCGGCCGCTAAAGATGCCGGACGGGGGCGATTTCCCGGGCCCTGAAGGAGGTCAAATGCAGTGAGATATTGGCTCTTAGGCCAAGTAGAATTTTTTCCTCTGCATCGGATCCCACGACCGAAGAAGCGTACCTCGAAATCAAACACTCGGATATTTCTCGTACCGCCTTCCCATTGCAGGCACATGTATGCCGGCTATGAATTACCCGAGATGCAGGCTGCCATATTCCCAGCAAGTGAAAAAAGGCTGCAAGAGCATGGGTCAACTTTTCTTCAGCGGGAAGAAAGAAATACCTCACAGACAGAGAATTAAAGCCAGCATCCGCGGAAGTGCCTGTGTAGAACGCCTCGCCAGGTCGAAGGGAAAAATCCTGCAGTGCGCCCTCAGCAACCGCAACACCAACCCCTTGTCGTCTCAGCCCGCTGTCTCGCTTGTCTATCAAGCATCGCGAAGCTTCAAATCTGAAAACAAAAACAGGAACAAACTTTTTACTGCTTAGTAATAATCATTAATAATAAACATGTTACATAATACATTTTTGACTTTGGAGAAGAGACCAATAAACTTTACTTTCCGCTAAGTGGGGCAGCTAGTCCTAATTGGGCACTAGCGGACGGGTCAACCGCCGACTTTGTTTATTTTGACTTCCGACGCTTCTTGCCTCGTTGCGAGTGGCTAGCTGGCGCTCATATAGCCCCTTTTGCCCAAGGATACTGGCTGTTATGACACCATATAGCATACTTACTTCCGTACCGAGGACTTTTCTTCCGGTAACACCGCTCAAGGCGTGGTGGATATCAGCTACTCAGCTAAGAGGCACAAAATTGCAGAAACAGGATCAAGGTCGCGCAATCCTGTAAGGACTGGATGTTCACTTCAACGAAGGAGCCTGGTCCACCATAATTTAATTACTGGATTGGGAATCTGGCGAGGCCCTACGATGGGTCATGATGCCCTCAGAAATCCGCAATTTAGGCAGGGATGATAATGATATCATGGTGCATCTCGGTTCTTTCCGCCAGCCACTAAGTCGCCCTGTCCTGTCTTGATCCGGAATGGCAGGTGGACTTCAATATCAAATAAACAGACCTAGCGAGTTGTCACATCGCTGGTTACTAACTGCTAGCTCACTCTCAGCTCTAACTCTGTCAAGGAGAGCGGTTGAGACAAAGATTTTGCCTCGAAGCCAGGGCGTTTGTCTCATGCAGTCGAGGTCGCCAATCGACAACTAATTTAGCTTGTTGGGAATACGTCCAATGGGCTGCGAAGAGTGAATCTGTTTTGCAGTATTAGCGCACTTCTGAACAGCAGCCAACCGCTAGTATCCGACTTTTCTAATATAGGTGGCTGTTAAGCTGTCTCTCTCTCTTCCACACGGACCACTTCCTGTTCTAAAAAACCCCAGGGATCTGCCGGAATTTTAATGCTTAGCTCTACCCAGCGCATTGTACCCACATCAGCTCGATGGGTCGAACCTATCCCATACTTATATTATTTCGCCATGGCTGCTATATCTCTCGCCATGGTGAAAATACGACTCGAGATTGGAGGGTGTATCGGGACCGGTAAGACAGCCAAGAGGCCCGAGTGTCTTGTTGCCTTCCTTGCCCTCAAAGTGGCTAACTGCAATTTCAATGATATACGGAGGGCTGGCCTAGGTATGGGTCAGCTTGGAGGTCCAGAGTTGATTCTGGCCAGAAATACCAGCGAGAGAAAACCCAGAATTAACCGGGTCAAGGATGGAAAAACTTAGCTACAGGGTGAAGTATGCAACGGACAGAATTTCTGGTCGATTCTCGAATTTATGCTGGGATGAGAACAGGTCACAGCTGATGTTCCGTAAACCTCCGTGTGAATATTCACGCTCAAGACCCTGTCAATGCATTGGCAGAGCTTCCTGCAAGTAATTTTTCCAAGGCATCTTAGCGAATATTCCGTGCCCGGCAATCAAGTTACCCTTGCATCTATCTCTTGGATTCTTGCAGACATTTTTTTTCTGAGCGGCTCGTCTTCGTTTAGCAAAAGTTATCATATGGGCTAACCAGAGAATATACGCTGGACTTTAGAGACGCGTAGAACTTTCTTCTCTTGTCTTCCCCATGGGTGTACCTAGTTATGAAAACACTCCGACGTTATTTCCGCTGGTAAGAGCGGGCCTCGGCTCCGGTTTCCGAGTGCAATTGCTCGATGGGTGCTTGATGATGTGATTCTGCTAGTTATGGGAGACAAGGGTAGGTCAAAGAAAAAAAAAAAAAAATAACTAAAGTCACCCGGTGATATATCGCGGTCGAGCTTTTTATGGTAACTTTTCCACAGGCCAGGTCATGGTGGAGGAATGGAGCAGCGGACTTAATCTAGAAACGGTGAGACCGGAAATATGCAGGCCAGGGGGAAGTGGATAATGGCAGGGATGAGCTGGCTATTATTATCGACTTGCCTAGCGCCCAACTAGTGGATTCAATACATGGAAAGCCTTAACGATGCAGGATATTGGGCCAAGTGGTGGCTGACAGACGACCAGTGAATTGCATGAGCGAGCACCTCTTCAGTCCTGATAGGATCGACAGCGTCCAGAATGCAGACATGGGGATGCAGACCGAAATCCCGCGTCTGCGGTCCACCAAGAAAGAATACCCCCCTGCTCATTATCTTTGTGACGGAAGGTCGAGGAGGACGGATTCATCCGCTGGCAGAGCAACTGAGTGACTGAGAGACAATTGAGGTATATAAAGGGGATCAGAATCTCCTGTCAAGTCGATATTCATCCAGACAAAACAACCAGCACTCCAGAGCCACAAGCCTCAATCAAAATCTCCAAGCACAAGCACATCTTCTTCGATACTTCTGCTCCCAGCAAGAAAGAAATCTCCAGCTTCATCAAGATGTCTGTCCTCTCCCGCGCCGTCCAGCTTGCCTTTGTCGCACTTGGCCTCTGCCTCTTCTTCTCCAACTTGGTTGCTGCTCAGCCCATCGCCGGTCCTTCCCTCGGTGTCTCCGTCAAGTCCGTCAACGGTGTGTGCCGCACCAACAAGCCATGCGAGCTCGAAGTCACTGTCCGCAACACCAACACCAAGAAGCCCGCCACCGTCTTGAACTGGAACACTCCCCTTGACCCCTATGCCGACCAGCTCGGTGTCTTCGAGGTCCGTGACAGCAAGGGCGCCGTCGTCCCTCTCGACTTCATCCAGATCCGCCGCATCACTCCTCCCCCAGCCTCCGACCTCGTTGAGATCAAGGCCGCCGGTTCCGTCAAGGTCAAGGTCGCTCTCGAGACTCTCTCCCGCGCTGAGCTCCCAGCTGGAACCAAGTACACCGTCACCGCTACCGGTTGGTGGCAGGCCGTTTGGGACCAGCCCAAGGAGCAGGTCGTCCAGACTCACCTCCAGGAGCTCTCTGGCGCTTTCTCTGGCAACTTCAACTCCAACTCCGTCCAGGTCACCAAGGTATGTTCATCCAGCAGTCCGTAACAGTAATCGGTATGATCCCTTGCTAACTTGCCCTTCCTTGCAGGCCTAAATGCCCTCTATCAACCAACGACTCAACACAACCACCAAACCACAAAAACGTACAAAAGTAGTACATAGATGATGATGGATGGACCAACCACTGGTTCTCTCCCGCGTTCCTGACGCTTGACGACCAATTACGCTCTTTATGTCCCTGGCCTTGATGATGCTGGCCCAAAAATACTGTGAAGTGATTCTTTAGCGACGAAGCGAGTCAGTTAATTAGTTAATCAGATAATATAATAGTCATTGACACTCACTACTCTGGTCCATCTTTTTGAAGTCAAGTAGAGTAAATTGGCTGGAATCGACTTGCTACGAAGTTTGGTTGTGGTTGGAGTATGGTTGACTCCAAGCGTTAGCTTAGCTAGCCGTGCCCACAAGGTTGTTTGCGGATCTCTTCTACATAACTAATTGGTGACCATTAACTAGTTATCGACAACACAACAACTAGTTAACTATCGCCTTGACAAATGTCTGTATAGCTTGAGCATGGCTACTCCAATTATTGATTCTCATGTGCACCTCTAGACAGCCTCGCAGCTGGATATGCTAGCATGGCATTCACCTTCTAATCCGCTGGGCTCGCAGCACTCGGTTGAAGAGTACCTTGATGCAGCAGTATCGTCTCTGCCAGCCGAGTACTCTCTTAAGGGCTTTATATACATAGAGACAGATAGGAGATCATCACTTAGACCGCATGATTGGACTCCTGTTTTTGAGGAGATATCATTCATCTCGCGCATAGCGTGCGGGACTCCGGTTGAAGGAGAAGGACATGTCTCGTCAGACAAGGAATTATGTCTCGCCATTATCCCTTGGGCGCCTGTTCCGCTAGGACCAGAAGGACTGGGGCTATACATGGCCAATATACAAGAAAGGACAAAAAACAACGGAGGAAGTGCGTGGGAAAAGATCAAGGGAGTGAGATATCTGCTCCAAGACAAACCAAGCGGCACCATGTTGGAGGACGGCTTTATTCAGAGCCTACGATGGCTGGGGCAACGAGGACTGACATTTGATCTCGGAGTCGATGCTAGGAGTGGTGGACTTCATCAGCTTGAAGAAACCGTGCAGCTAGCGGGGAAATTATATCAATACGGCAGCCAGGTGAAGTTGATACTAAGTAAGTCTTCGGTATCCCTTGCTCTATTACAACCAATATCTACCTCCCACAACCTGCTAAATGGCAAATAGACCATCTGTGTAAGCCGAATCTACGCATATTACCACCTGAAACCTGTAACCATCAAGAATTCATCGAGTGGAAAAGGCATATCACTTCTCTTTCAGCTTATCCTAGCATCTACATGAAGCTCTCCGGTCTCTTTTCTGAACTTCTGCCTCTGCCTGCAGAAGAGGAGGGGCAAGGCGATACATTCCAGGTATCGGCTACCATAAATGCCATACAACCATGGACGGACGTCATATTCGACACCTTTGGCGCTGCAAGAATCATGTTCGGAAGTGACTGGCCGGTCTGTAATATCGGAGGTGGCGGAAACTTGGTTGCCTGGAGGAGGTGGATGAGAGTGGTCGAGCTGCTGCTAGAGAAGCGAGGGCTCAGTGACGACGATAAGAATAACATCTGGCATCTAACTGCTTGGAGGGCATACAGTATCTCCCCATCTTGACCCAGATGAATCACAACCTTTCTAACCAATGTCAATACCTGTGTTCTACAGCGCAGACGTCGACCTAAAGCCGAGGTTGGGCAGCGCCAGCTCTCCTTTTCTCCGCTCGGTGAACGTGGTGCGATCGCCAGCGCAGATACGGGCAGAGACCCAACCATGGAGCTGTCCTGTATAGCAAGGATCCCCCTCCAGACATATCGCGGGGTGATACTGCTTGATTTCGGGACACGATATTTAAAGGGTGAGTTCCTGTCTGCGATTCAATGTAACTAATGGTTACCGATAACGGAAACTAACAAGCATCCCCTCAACGATAACTAGTTACCTACTTACTTACAATTCAACACGAGCGAAAATGACGGACTCAGAGATCCCTACTCACGCAAAGGCTGCTGTATATGACAAGCCAGGCTCAGTCTCGACCAAAGTGGTGATGGTAGAGGTTCCTGAGCCTGGACCTGATGAAGTCCTCGTTAACCTGTGCGTGTGTTGTAACTACATCAGGAGTCGCCGTGAACAAGCCTGCTGACCTCCAAGTCTAGGACTCACTCAGGAGTCTGCCACTCTGACTATTCTCTCATGACCAACAGCGTATGTGCTGGCAGCTTTCTCTGGTTGGGCTATCTTTGGCTGATTGCATGTGGATAGTGGCCAGCTCTCCCCTTCCCACCTGAAGCAGGGCAAGTTGGAGGTCATGAAGGTGTTGGAAAGGTCGTCAAACTCGGCCCTGGGGCTGAAAAGTCCGGCCTCAAGATCGGTGATCGTGTTGGCATTAAATGGATTGCTCATGCCTGTGGCAAATGCTGTAGGTGCCCCTCTAATACCCCTTGAATCAGTACTGTCTGCATGGAACGAACAAATTGACGGAAACTAGTGTTCTGCGTTGATGGTGTCGATGGATGCTGCATCAACAAAAAGATGTCTGGATTTTATAGCCCAGGTACATTCCAGCAGTACATTCTTGGATCAGCACACTATGTTACCCCTATTCCAGATGACTTGCCCTCCGAACAGGCTGCACCCATGTTATGTGCCGGCATAACAGTTTACGCTGCACTCAAACGCTCCAAGGCCCAACCAGGTCAATGGGTGATCATTTCCGGTGCCGGGGGTGGGCTAGGTCATCTAGCCACGCAACTCGCCAGTCGTGGTCTCGGCCACAGAGTCATTGGCATTGATCATCACAGCAAAGAGGGTGTCGTGCGAGAGTCGGGCGCAGAGCATTTCATCGACATCACTCAGTTCTCACAAGATGAAAAGGGGACGGGAGAGATCGTCGAAAAGGTGAAGTCCCTGACAGGGGGTTTTGGTGCTCATGCAGCCATCGTGTGCACCGGATCCCATGCCGCATACGCACAAGCATTACTCATGCTGCGTTCAAACGGCACATTGGTCTGTGTCGGAATTCCATCACACAGCAGAGATCCAATCGCCACTTGTTCTCCAGGGCTCCTGGTTGCTCAGTCTCTTAATGTAGTTGGTTCTATTGTAGGGAACAGAAAGGATGCAATTGAAGTTATGGAATTTGCGGCAAGGGGCATCATCAAGGCTCATGTACGTGTTGAGAAAATGGAAAAGCTTACGGAAGTCTTCGAGCAGCTGGGTCGGGGCGAATTGCAGGGAAGGGTCGTCCTAGACTTGTCTTGACTTTTATGCAGGTAACGAGACGGTGTCTACAGATTGAGAATAACTTCAATTGTAGGAGAGCTATAGGTTTATTTATATTGATATGGTAAATAAGCCTAAATTAACATCTTATCCACCAGGGGTACTTTCGAATAGTAAGACAATAAGCTGAGAGAAGAGACGAAGTTATAAGACATGGTCCAGCCACTGATTATGTAGATATGAAGGAAACACACTCTAGAGCAAATAATCCCAGATAATTTGCTTCTTTGTTCACTTTGTTCTCTTTCGACCACTGCCAGACGCAGCAGTCGATGGGCGTTTTTGTCCGCTGGCACCAGGTATCAGAGCAGCGCCCACAGCAGTTTTTGTCGGAATGTCGCCAGCTATTATACTGTGGAGTTTTCGGAGGTACGGCACCGGCGCCGCGTTCACTTGCATGTCGCTGAAGATATTATCGAGTTGAGGGGTGATTTGTTGCAGGATGTCTTCTGGTAACTGCTCCAGGCATGAGAGAACAAAGAAATCATCGCCATTGACTGGGTTATAAATGAGCTGGAAGTATAAGTTTCGGTCCTCTGCTGCTTCATCCGATTCAGAAGGACGCTCCCATGTGCTTGTCTCGAAGGCATCAAAGTTGAATTGGCAGACAGCACGAAGAAGGTAGAGAAGGGTCTCGGCTGCTCCCTTGAAGCCATGCGGACTGCGAGAAAACATATTCTTCTGGATTAGCCGGAGATGATCTCGCATCTCGTCAGCAACCACATCAACCTCCAGGGCCGTATGGTCTGATTGTCTTAGTGTTCCTTTTTGTCGGTACCGATTGAAATCAGCAAGTAGCGAACGGATCCGTCTTTGTACTTTGTCAAAGAATATGGCAGCACGGGCCCCAGAAGGCATTACCTTGCGAAGACTGGCATAGACATTTTCATCATGCACAGCAAGACGAAACATCGTGGCCTCGAAGTCACCTTGGACGACGCATTGCTCGGGGGTACGAGGCTGCCTAATCGTTTCCACAAGTTCAGGGCGAAATTCATCGGGCATGGTGTCTGCACTGAAGGCTGAAAGGAGGTCTCTGGCTTTCTCGGGGCGTGACATAGACATCGAGCTGCATTGTGTATCAGGGGGAGTGCCTGGGGTAGGAATGTATGGCCATTCCACTTTCTGGCATATATTTTCCATGCGATTTCCAATGAGTTTTAGCATGGGGCCCAGTTTTTCACATTCTCCGTTCTGGGATAGTTTGAGGGCTCCGGAGGGTCTGCTAGTCAGAACCCGCCGATGAAGTTGATCGACAAGCCACTGAGAGAAGGAAGCTCCATTGTTAGCTGCAAAAATATATCAGGTATGACGAGGAGTCTAAGCAGGGTAAACTAACGTAAATATGTCGACAAGCAATGCGGCTACCTTGGAAGTCTGGACATGAGCAAGCCATCGGTCCTTCGCCAACATAGACGCGACCATAATCAACGACATGGAAGTCATATCCACCACCATAAATTGGCCTGCACTTATCGACAGAGAAGTCTCCGCTTAGTCCATGCCGGGCTTTCGCCCTTGCACTATGAGATAACATCTGAAGGTCATAGACAATGGATGATTTTCCAGAAAAGGTCACAGGATACGATGGAGAATTTTCTTCTTCTTCCTCTTCTTCCTCCACCTCTCCTTCACTACTTGACGACTCTTCCTCAGATTCGCTATCAGAGGACTCTTCAGTAGTATATGGAGGCTTTTGCCCTTGGTTTTGGGACCCTGCGCGAGTAGAGGACATGTCACTTCCGAGTGATAGATTTCCGAGTAACTTAGTTGGAGCCGACATGTGAGGAGTGGTAGAGAGGGTCAAGGATATCAGACAATGGAGAGAAGAGGGTACAAAAGTAGTGGACTAGATTATTTAGCCTAGGAAGAGTCCCACTGATAAGTAAAGTAAGGAAAAGCGAAACTGACTTCTCCCCTCCATCCTGTTCTGGAGTAATCGCGTTCCTTTTGTACCTTAAACTCCACTGGGGAAATAGTCATTAAGACGGGATCTACAGAGGCCGCCGTAGGCCGGAGTGGTAGGGGGGCGTATGAAAACTCCGCAGCCTGAGCGAATGCGAAGCCGGAGATCACTTAGGCAGGAATAACAAATCTAGAGCACTATTCAGCGGCCAAATCACAGTCAGTCTCTGAATATGACTAGCGGCGCTTACGCCTGGGAGTAACGCGAGAAGGCTATCCCGTGTTTCCATGTGCCGGAGTTTAGGAAGGGGAACAATGGGCCATCCAAATGGGTGGGAGCTAGGGCCATCTCGATTGATGCCCCCAGTGTACCAAACGGCGGGAATCCTGGAATAAGTGAGCATTGCATAACTAGTGGGCTAGTCGAAACCGCATTATGGCCAGGTTTCTTCAGGGCCCCTCGCCAGGCAGCGATGGCCAGGGTGGTAAGAAAAGGTCCTGGATTGCGGCACAGCTTGCAGGTCTAAATGCAGGTCGTGCATATTGGACTATTTTAAGGCAATCTCAACAATTCTCATGGGGGATATACGATGCCTTGCAGGGGCGAGGTATCGAGTAACATGAAGTCGCCCTCCAGTGGTATAACCAAGCTGGGAGGCATCCGTTTTGGAATAATGGTAACTGGCAGATACCAGTCTTGCTTGAGATGTATCAGAAGATGCTCTGATAATCTGGGGATGTTCTCGAACATTGCAACATTTCAAGGATGCTACATGTTGGCGTGCTGATTGATATCAAAGGCATATTCGGCACTCTTTCCCCCCACTCCATGTACAGCCAAAGGGTTTTTCGGGGTCCACCTCAAGGCAGCAATCATCCTGGCGTATAATTTTCTTGGTATAAGCGGTCTAGAGGGTCGTATCTGCGATACTATTACTATTTCTCAACGTCACTTGCAGGAGGCAGAGCATCTCGTCGTAAAAATCACCGGAGTGAAACGGCGTACATAACTGCAGGACAGCGGCTCGCCGCCTCTCCAACCAGGGCGAAAGGAAGAAGAAGCTGATGAAGAAAAAGGCAACGAAAAAAAGGGTGGATGAGCAGAGTATGGAATACGCCCTGTCCTTCTCATCTGCAGTTGGAGCTGGAGTCGGGGTCTGTTACGGCGTAGGCTGCAAGGTCGTCGAGGTCGTCGTCAAAAGTTGAAGTTAGAAGGAAAAGGAGTGGATGACTAAGCACAAACCTTCCTCGAAGCCAAAGTTTAGAGCCGCAACATCAACGCCAACGTCAATACACGATCATATAGACGGCGTTTCGTCTGATAGTCTCGGGGGTTGCGATGCAGAGACACGCCAAATGATGCAACCCATGCCTCAGGATGCTCTGATGCGGTGCTCTTTTGACTGCTGATTGGTGGTTATCCATCACGATGAGGCTGTGTTGAATTGCTGTGCCGCACGCTATCCCATGCGGCCACTCTGGCTTCAACCTTTCATTGCCCAGTAACGCCGTCTTTTCGAGTTCGAGTCACTCTGCGAGGCTGTTACTTTACAACCACATGGCTGTTCGTTCATTTAAGAAAGTTTTAAGTCACATGTTTGAACGGACACTGGCCGATCGTTTCGCGATCTTTGATACCCTTGCTGAGACATACCAGATCTACAGGTCCGATAGGCTGACCTAGGAGTACCTCGGCCGCTTGGGCTGCTCTAATTCAGGATATCTGGGCTGTTGATGCGGCTAGTCCTGCCGTAGCAAGCGGCCATCCCGGCGGATCCGCGTCCTGCCCAAGCTGAAGACGGCCTTGGATAAGCCCGTCTTCGCCTAATCTAGCTCTCCCCGAGATGACTGCGGGCACATCTGTAACCGAGCAAGGGAGATTTTAGATTTGCCACAGTAGCCTGAACGCCCAATGGCAGCTTTGATCTGCTATTTTGTCAACCTGCAACCCTCTGGCCACATCTCTTACTAGCGCTCATACGTAGCATCACTCACGGGGACAGGGGGAAGTGCATGCATGCTATCGAATCATGATTATCTCCCTCATGTTAACCATCCAGCAACAGAACAAGCATTGTTCCTGAGATGGATGGAGTGAAATAACAATAGCGGCATCAACGTTTCACAAATACAGCATGGCCGCACGGAGGCACTGTCTCGGGGTTTTCCTCGCGCTAAATTCTTCGTGCATTCTTTCAGATGCGATTCTGTGGCACAACCCATGAACTATTTGTTCAACATTAGTCATTTGAATTGTTTACTTAACCGCAGCCCAACGCCATCGATTTGACGAAGTCCGGTAATTCCAGTTAATGGTACAGACATGTAAATTGAAGCAGGCATTATGCGTTGACGACTTGAAAGAAAAAGGTGTTTGTACTATTTGACAACCCAAAAGTTCAAGTCACTTTATAGACCTACTGCCTAATGACAAATTTAGAGCGTTTAATCTTTAGTTATATGGATGTGACACTGAGGGAATAAGAAAAAAACCAAAACTCGGGAAATTCAATATAACTAATCAAAACATATAAATCCAAAAAAGATAGAAAATCCAAAAGCAGCCACACGTATGGAGCTTATACGCACCAAATCAGCTAATTGGCATGCTTATCACAGCTACCTTGCGTATCATCCCCTTGTTGACTGCGTTCCTGCTGTGCTTTCCGCTCTCGCTCAATAAGTTGATTGTACTGATAAGAAGACATGAGAACTCCCTTGTGCTTTATCAAAGCTCCACGACGACGTGACGAGGCTTGTGGAGATTGCGAGCGGCGTGCATGAGTGAGACTGGCTCTTGGACCGAAACCTTGAGATGGAGGTGGCATGGCATTCCTAGCTGCTGTAGAGCTGGGAGGTCCACGGGTTTCCTCCCCTTGTTGACTGTGCTGACTTTCTCGAGTCTGTGCGTATGGCTGAGAGCTATTCTGAGAAGCCTCTGGCTCGAGATAAGTTGACATAGATTGAAGACCAAGTTGTGCTGCCAGTTGGTACCCATCATCAGTAGTTTGATTTCTCGACTGCCCCTCACGAGCCTGGTTGTAGTCAAAGGGTGTGCGCCCCTGATAGGTATGAACATTTGAATACGAGGCTGACTCCTCCTGAGAACTACTCTTATAATCCTCAAGTTCGTCTTCTTCTTGATCGTCACCTTCCGCGTTTCTCTGTTGGTTACTACCCCCGCTTCTTCTTTCCCTTGACTCGGGAGTTTTGCCATTGTCACCAGAAGTTTCCTCCTCGCTAGGCTCTGGCGACCTCCATCGAGTCAAGCCAAGCCCTTGGGTTGGTTGTCCTGAAGACGAGGAGTTTTCTGGCTCAGACTCATCACTGGTCGCAAACCCGAAATAATCGGGCAAAGGTGGAGAATTCGACCGCTCTCTCCCACAGCCAGAACAAAGGCAGCTTCTACCAAATAGTCTCACAGCTGTATTGTTGGGGAGGGGTGCTTTGGTGTAGCGTATAAATAGCTCCTCTCCATGCTTTATAAACCTGTTGGCGTGTAGAATAAGGCGGTTGGGAATTTCTGTATCCCAATTCCAATCCACGTTATGGTAAGGAGGGCAGGAATGGTTGAACACAGAGATTGCAGGAAAGACATAAAGGTTGGGGAACGTTGGCATAATTAAATTCGACTCGCTTGGAGTAAACTTAGAGATCTCTCTTGTACGCTTGATGACCTCATCCTGAGTCTCAGGAATGTCCTCGCGCCTTTCCTCGCCTGGAGCACGCCAGGGGATGACCGACATCAGCAGTTTCCGAAGGACAAGTTGAATCACCCAGGTATCAAATGAAAGGTCCCGAAAAATGTTCACACCTAGACATGAGAGAATGTCAAAAGGAGCCTGGATATTCGCTGCAAACGAGAACGGCATATTCTTGCCTGCAGCACGCCACAGTAGGATTGGCATTAGCTCGTCAATCTCGTGGGCCAGCAAATGAGGCTTGTTATCAGTCTCACGCCGGAGAAGAGTGATGTCAAACACCTCTCTAAGCAACAAGCTCAATAAAGTACCATGTTTTTCGTTTGAATGGGACAGAGAGCCCAGCTCCCGTGGTACAGATTCAGACTTCCAGTAGTTTGGTCGCATTGCATTGTGCAGCCAGTTCCAGTTCTTCCCGCAGGCCCGATTATGATATAAAGATTTTGCAATATCTAAGCACGAAAGCCCCTGTTTGTTGGCACGATCATCGCGTGTCTTTTGTCTCTTTGAAGGATTCCCCCTTGTGGTCTTCTGTCCGTTGTCTGTTTCGGCACCCGGCCTTCGACGACCGCCCGTGGATTCAGACGAGTTTGTAGAAGAATCCCTTGAGCTAGGGCTCTCGGCGCTGCACCAGTACAGAGGAGTGTAGATGGAATTGGAACAGGTGCAACTTGGATCCTGTACAGCCTTATTCTCGGTAGGGGGCGATGGTGGGGAGCCACCAGTGCTAAGCGGGCGCTTGCAATTCTCGCAGAAATGCTTTGAGGTTTTGTACAGGGGTTGAAGATGGCCCCTTATTGATGGCTCATCTACATAAATGACTGTTCCCTTGCGTATGTCCTCATATGCATATACCGACAGACTCCCACTGTCCACGTCTACCTGGATCTTTGCAGGACGATAGACCAGCGCCTGTGACTTTTTTATCATATCCGCATTCAACTTATCTGCAATCTGTTTAAGTGCGGTAGCAGCATCGTAGTTATCATACGGATACTGGCGGCATGAAATAAAGCCATAATGTCGCTCGAAAAAAATATTCACGAGCATCGCGTCTTTTTTCTTTTCCTGCTTCTTGAATAAATTCAGCTATTTTCCCTTGCCTCTTTGTCATGGCAATCTTGTCGCGGTCAGCCATGATAAGTCTGGTCCTTAGATACGGTTCGGTAGCAGAGTAATCTTCCCAGCATTGCATTGCCAACAGGCTAAGCACGATAATATGATGGACTGCTTTGCGCACTAAGGGAATGAAGCTGTTTACTCCGTTCCCTTTCCGTAACAGAAGGACTTCCGGGGAAAATTGGCGCCCGTTGGATGGTGTTTGCAATATGTGGCGCTCGACGGCGTCCCATATATGAATATAGATACCAGGTTGAGTATGGCGGTTTAACGGATTGACAAGTTTCTCACATAGGAGTTGTGCGCGGTATGCGTCCCCGATAGCTAGGTCAAAATGACCCATTTGGTAATATAAGTATGCGCGGCTGGTCCAGAATGCGGGGTTGTATGGGCTGAGATGTATTGCCCAGGTGTACATATCTAGTGCTGATAAACGACTTTGTGTAGTAATTTTGACTAGGAAATCATCGGATTTGCGCTTAAGGCCCCATTCTGGCAATGACTGGACAGGTAGGAAACTACCTTTATCCTCGGCTCTCCTCTCCTGGTGGCCGAGGATGCTCAACTTTTGCCGTTCATCATCGTAGAGTCTTTGTCTTAGATCAGCAACAAGACCGTTTGCATCGATTCCCCGTGATCGCAGTTCTGGTTGGAGCCTTGCTTTTGTCCAGTATTTTGTATCGATAAGAGGGTTATGCCCTTGCACCAGTACGCTAGAAATGGTATTATCTGGTGACTGCTCCTGCACTTCTGGTTCAGTGCCAAAAATGTCGCTATAAGTCCAGCCTTCAGTACGTTCAGCATCCCTGGGAGGGTGGAAAGTATAATTTTCTCGTCGAATTGGCAAGTCTGGGGAAGTTAGAATGCTCTCGTATACATTCCGTACCAGACAACCAGCTGGGCCATTGGTAGCGGGGTGGGATGCTTTTAGGGTGTTGTTTGGTATCAACCACACTTTGTACGCCTTTGCTATATCTTCGTTGGAAGGAAACGGGCCCCATTCGACTTCATTAAATAGGTCTGGCTGGCCTGGATAAGCTGGTGCGGCATAGTCTGATCCAATAGGTACTGGACAATTTACCGGACATGGCATACTCGGGCCCTCTATAGTCTGTTCTTCGGACATTTTGAAGCTAATTATATGCTGGTATCAGGCTGGTGGAATTGGATCAGGGTGTCTATGCGTTTCACAGAATCAATGCGGCTCAGGCGTTGGTAAGACAGAAGAACGAACGAGCCCGTAGGTCTCAAAATACGCTGGACCTTTGGATGGTGTTGGGGGACCTAGAGGTGACCATACACGGTGGATGATAGCGGGAATCACAGAGAAGCTTGGGTTAGAAGGTAGGCCGCTAGGATAGAGGAATCCAGGTTTATTGTATGTCCAGGGAGATCAAAGAACATTGTTGATATAGCCCCGGATAAAGCGATACAGTACTAAATAGAGGAAAAGGGTAGACAAGCAGGGCAACAAGGAGCAGACATGTAACTTGATTTCATAGATGGGAGCCCGTGCTGAATTCAGCGACTCCTTGATCCTTTCCGCCGGTGGTTGTCGACAAGAGCAGTCTCGGCAACAACAAAGGGCCTTTCTCCAACCAACAGTCCGCTGAATAATGCCATATTGTAGACATGAAAGGCTACATCTTGCTTGAAGCGAAGTTCATGCTACCGGGTATGTCGGCCATTCATACAACCATCGCCAGGGGGTATAATAACTATGGAGTTCAACAAGGAGGCTTCAAGCGCCAAACATCCATGTGTAAACAAGAAACAGTTACTACTGCATTGTAGTAACGTATCAAACAAAGATGGACCCTTGTCGCATGTTTCTTCATAGTATGGTTGAACCTTTGAAGGCCAAAAGGGGTCATCTTTTCAGGACGATTGAGCACCATTCACGCAGCTAGTTTGCTTCTTCCAGGTAGGGTACTCCATCTATACGGTCAAAGAGAGCAGAATCTCCCCCTCTACCTTAGTGAAGCGTAAGATATCCTGGAATCGCAGAGCTGCTGCCTGGTTTCACTCCTCGTCCAACTGAGTCTCAACCGGCGCCGTGGCCCTCGAGCAGACCGACGAACCACGTCCTCGCCCTCCGTCTCGCTAAAATGAGGCTCGTAAATGGTGCAACGACAGCCCGCATCGCAAAGCCCGAGGCTGTCTGACAGTATCCCGATATCTGTTGGCCCCCCCTCGTCTCGAAATCATGGCTGAGTCGCAGCGTTTTGCTGCTTTTTTTATATCCCGTAGACGCGGCTGGCGGGCGGTGAGCGTCTTACTCAGCGCCGGCGCATACGAGGTGGCCCAAAGGGGAAAACGAGAGCTCCGCCGCCTCAACGACAACTCGACGACCGCAGACGTCGCTTCAGACAACAACGGAGCAGCGACGGCGACGACGAGCTGCTCGCCAGGCGATTTACACGGAGCCGTAGCTCGCTGGGGTGACTAGTTGACCAGCAACGTCTCACGGTGTGACCGCGCCTGATCTGGTGATGAGACTGTGGTGCGCTTCGCATTTGTTTGCGCCTGACCAGAACTAAACTACTCCGTCTAACACTTCAACGACATCGCAAAAGGCGAGAACGGCGACGGCGTCCATACCGATCATCATTCTTCAGGAGAGATATCCGGGCGTCCTTCACGGCTTCAGGCGACCGTTCTCCTGGTTCTCGGTACCGCGACGGGAGGTTTAACTAAATGAACCCTGGATTATACCGAGTGAACCCCTGGCCCTGATCCAACTATTCACGGACAAATACTATTAACGACAGTAAGTAAAGAGATTTTTTTCCCTCTCTCCCTACAAACTCAAGCTGTATCTAGCTACAATATACTTCGTGCGGTGCTAAGCTATTTCGTTTGTGCAGAGCAGTGATGTACGGCTCGCAGAACTATCAGCAGCCTCCATGGCAGCAGCAGCCGCCTCTTCCTCCTCCTCCGCCTCTCCCACCAGCTGGTGACCACTCAAACAAATGGCATGGAGGTGACCAGTCACAGCATGTACAGCCTCAATCAACGTACAACCCGAACACATATGGACCTATGTCGGGAACTCCTTCGATCGACCATGCTCAGCAAGATACGTCGCGGTGGGGGGTTCGATATAACCAACAGTTCGGCCACCAGCATCAGCCAAGTGTCCATGACCAGCACAACGCACCGCCGCCGTTGCCAGTAAGCAGGATCACTAATACATTTGCATATCGAGTCAAGAAGCTATGCTAATACTACATTTAGCCCTGTCCATCCAGCGCATTTGAATTCTCCCAAGCACAGGCTCAGAACGCTCCCCAGCAGCAACAGCAGCAACAGCAATGGCAACAGCCTGTCCAAACAAGTCAGCCATATTATCCCCCCAGCCATGGGGTAACGGCCCCTGAATATCCGCCAGTGGCACCACCGCCTCCTCCACAATCATGGCAGCAGCAGCCACCGCCTGCAGATCACACCAGCTATGTTGCCAACCAAAATGCTCCACCACAACCACCACCGCTACCACTGGCATACCAAGCAGAGATTCAGCGTCCTGCTTCTGAATGGCCAACTGCACCAGTCTATTCACAACATCCCCCAACCCACCGATACGACCCAGTCTCGCAGCAGCAGCAGCAGCAGCAACCACATCAAGCCCCATACCAGCATGATCAACATCAATACCAGCAGCAGCAACCGCAGCAGCCACCATATCAACATGATCAGCAAGAGCAACAGCAACAACAATATCAATACCCACCCCCAGAAACCCAGCAGCAACAGCAGCAGCAGCCAGTTGTGTCACCTCCTGCACCTCCCGTAGCCCAAAATGCCGATAATTCAGGAAACAGCGGCTATTTCCAGCCTGCGTCTGGAGAGACACGAAACCATCTTCATAGCCCTCCTCCAGATGGGAATCTGCAGCAGCCACTTCCCCCCACATCACAGCCACTGGAAGCTCAGACTCCTGCAGCTTCGCTTGCTCCTGCTATTTCTCCACTTGCTGCGCAGGCAACGGTCGCTACCAGCACCCCACCCCCTGCCACCACAGCAGCAGCTTCTAGTGCGACCCCCACAGCAAGCACTGGCGCATCAGCCCTCGGATTTGGGGGTCCTTCCGATTGGGAGCATTTTAACTCTACGGGAGAAGAGGTAGATGATACGGCTGAATTCGGTGCTAGAACAAAATCCCCTATAAACAAGGCAAATACATTCGAACTGCCATCGGATCCATCTCCCCAAGCTCCAGTGACTAGCTCTCAGGCAATTTCACAGCAACCAGCCAGCGTGACTTCGGGACAAGTATCGCCTGAGCAACCGTCACGATCAGGCTCACATGTAATTTCTCCAGTTGATGCATCGAACCAACCTGCCAAAAATCAAAGTGGAAGTATATCTGGTCGTCTCGATAGCGTCAGCTCTATCGAGTCAAACACACCCGTTGATTCTAAGGCCATTGACGGCGTCATTGAAGCATGGTCACAGCCAGTCATATCTAGTAGCCAGCATTCTAGCTACTCGGATGCAAAGCCTCACCAACGTTCAAACACGGTTTCAACATTCGATTACCCCCGAGTGACAACCCCAGTATCCCACATCCATGCTTCCCCTCAGCAGAGCCCCATGCGCACGGCCTCGAGGGCCGATGTTCGACCAATACAGTCAATCGTAACAATTTCTGACCCTTATGAAGATCTTGATCCATGGTATGAATCGTCCTTGACGCGGTATGTGACCATGCTCCGTAAGGAAATGGAAACAGAGTCAGAAGAGGAAAAGTATAAGCTTTTCTCAGCCTTTATGCATAAGGAGTCAAAACTACGTGCAATCTTGTATAACGTGGAAAATGTTCTGGATCAACAGCCTTCAGCGAAGCCCGAGCCCGCACCTGCGCCAAACCCCGTTGCCGCGTCAAGCTCGATGGCGAAAGACGCACCAGCACCAGCACCATCGCAGGAGGTACCCTCGAAAATATCTATTCCCGACCCTCCAACCCCTGGTGAACAGGATGATGTAATCTCTTATAGTCCCGGTGGGCTACCACGACTCGCTTCTGCGCTCACTAACCAGAAGAAAAATAATTCTGTCTCAGATGGGCTACATCGATCTGCCTCTAACCCGACTCGACCACAGCCAACAGCAGGAGCTGCCAGTAATCAAATATCAAACCCAAATTTGGGCTTATCTGCTCATCCAAACCCATCTCGATCGGTTTCTGTTCCCCCAGAGTCTGCTGTTAGGCCAAGTACTAACACACCTCCGTTCACGGTTGAGCCACCACATGCAGTCTACACGCCTTTCCGCTATAACGAAAACTCGCAGAAAACGTCTCAATCCACAGCCGTGAGTCGTCCAGCTTACCAGGGATACTCAGCCTTGCGCCTAGCGTCAGTGGAAAGTGGCCGTGTGATGGCTCAGCCATCCTTACAGACCCCACCAGCATTCCCTTCGGAACGTTCAGTATCACGGGCTGAGCATGACGAAACATTCTTAGGCCTGATTAGAGAGAAGAGTGTGGCTTACCGCAGCCACCGGCCCGGAACTAGCTTGTCAAACAGACCAGCTTTACCGAAGAAAGGTTCACCAACCATAACCTTCGAGGAACTACAAGCTTTGGTTCCTGGCCCGCCGCCTCGACTAGAAAGCAGCTCGCGTGTCGCTATTATCGGCGATGAAATCGAGCATTTCCCCGAGGACTTCACCTTTATTGAGAAAACTCATGAAGCCTGGGATAATAGCGCTACCGGGCGCCAGGCGCAAGTCAACGCCCAGCGTCAAGCTCGCCAGGAAGAGTCAGAAACCCACATTGACTCACTCTTCAATGATAAGGAGATTGGATACTCTGACATCAACGTGCTAGAGGATGAGTTCAAGCAGACCGAGGCGCAAATACAGCTTAATGAGGAGCGAAAAGAGTTTGACAAGTATGTGGAGATTGTGTTTAGTCGCGTTGACGAGAGACTCGCATCGGAAATCAAGCGCCTGCAACATCTCTATAATGAGACAAGTGAGCTTTTGCAGCCCGGGGGAGGAAAGCCTTCAGCATTAGGAAAATTCGAGCTCTCACATGCTATGCGTAATGCAGTGGATATTTTCCAAAAGCTCGAGCTCAGGCACGCTAAGCGTGTAGCTGCTGTTCTTGAGCGAGAACGACGGAGGAAAAAGGCTGAGCGCCGCTACTACGTTTTCCTGGGTGAAACTGCAGCACTGAAGCAAATGGAGAAGGAATTCACTGCATTGGAGCAGAAGACGCTCCTAGATGCTGCCAAGGCCCGAGACGAGCGAACAAATAAGCTGATGGATATATTTGACGACACCAGCATGCGTGGGATTGGTGAGAACCAGCGACTACTGGATGACATCTCAGCCAAAATTAACAAATTTGACACGGACCTTATCCGCTCGACCCCTAGTATTGTCCCCACTGGCGGCGTCAAAACATTGCAAAACACACTGGCGTTTGTGAAATTCCTCGGCGCCAATTCAGAGTCCGTGCTGGAAAGCTTTGGCGTCGCGGATAGATTGTTGAATAATGCGGACTACGACGTCTCTGTGGCCGAAGCCAAGGTCGCAGACTCCAGTGCCGATATATTCCGCCGCCTGGAAGAGGAGAAAAAGAAAGAGGATAAGAAGATTGAAGATGATTTGCAGTCGAGAATGTCTAGTATCCGAACTAGCCATCGCGCTATCATCATGAACATCGAGGAGGTTCTTGAGTGTGTCGAGCAAGCTGTTGCTTCTAGTGAGGGCTCTGGCGCGGGAGCATCCTTGACACCCCCTTCGGGTCCCAGCTCTCGGCCGCAAACAACGTCTTCTCCCGGTGGTATAGGCTCATCTAATACCCCTCCTGCATTGGGAGTTGGCGTACCAACACCCCACGCAGCAAATACATTAACAGCAGAGGAGCAGCAACAAGAAAGATTGAAGAAGGCATTAGAAGAGGCAAAGAGAAGGAATGCAGAGAAGGGCCATGTTTGAAAGAAGACGACCGAGAGCAGGCAGGAGCACAAACTCTCAATGATACCCAACTTTATGCTCATCCTTACAAATTTTTCAGCGTATATTTTTAAGCCCCTGTATTTGTTTTGATATTCATTGTATACAGCTTTTTGGCCTTTATTATTTAATTCTCAATGTTTGTTTTAGCGTGATGAATCCCCCATCTCCTAGTTCTTCTTTCTTGGACCATGTTCAAATCTAACTTTGTTTACGGAGTACTTCATTGATAATTTTGAGGGAGGTTTAACCCCCTGTCCCCCCCCCCCCCCTCCAAATCTTCCCCCATAAACATATTACATTTGTGGCCATAACATAACCATCAATGCAATAATTATTGGTATTAATATTGGTATTATTATTGGAGTGAGTTAGTTTCTTTGGCCTCGGGTGCGTGCATATTTAAATTTTGTTTTCAAAAGGCCAAAGCACCGCCCCGTTGGTGTAACTTTTCTATTGGGCGCTTGCCGGACGCATCTGATCCCATATTTTTTTAAATAGTTGGAGTCGGTGGCAAATAGAAACCCCTCTTCATGCAATTCCATGCAATAGTTGGAAGCTCGAATCTCGAACGCATCTGGCACAACGTCATTGCATCAATAACGCTCCAGTATGGAGCAGCAGCCAGGTGAGGCGGCACCACCCCTGTCGTCATGATATCAATCTCCACTTGTCCGCCCTCGACAACATCCTCAGGTCGAGTCAAGGAAGGGAGAAGCGGGAGGAAAAAGCAAAATGATTCGACAAAAATATTCATCTGATATCATCTCTCTATAGTAAGTACTCCGTACGGAGGGATGGGTAAGCTCAACAACGCCATGCCCTGCTGGTTTGCGGACAAGGGGGAGAGAGGGGAGCCCAACGAAGCCACACAGGAGGGCGAGCGTACCAATCACAGCCGATGCACGAGTCTCACTACCCCAGACTGGACAAGTTTCGCCAGAAAGGCAGGCCAGGTTCTGCAGGCGGGCGTCAGGGACACTTCGGGTAGAGTGTGGCCGCATTGGCACAGCAAACTAAGTCTTGTCTGAATATATCTTCGGTTAAGCCGGTGGGCAACTCTGATACTCCTTGCGCTCGTATCTAGCAAGCCAACCATGTCTATCTCTGCCACCGCACAGCCGATGAAACAGCGCCTTGACAAGCTATAGCCAGGATAAAACGCCCTGTCTGCGGTATGTATTAGCTTCGAGCCGGGAAGGACAGCGGTCTTCTAGAAACCAGGCTCTTCTCCAACCGCTGGCCTGCATAATAGCATGAAACTTGGCACACTGCATTCCGTGGCGACTTTTCCGGCCTAAGTCATGTCTCGAGCGTGATCGGCCGTGCCTGGATGCAGATGCAAGCCGTCTCCACGCTTGCATGAGTCGTCGTGGCGGATATCAAGCGCAAGACGACCCGACACAGCTCGGTATGATTGATCGCTTTCGATTTTTTTTTTTTTTGCGCTTTTCTTTAGCTTCCCCTTTGAGGCAGACTATATACTGACTTACCTCCGTATTTACAATACGGAACAGCGTCCCCGACAGGGGTCTCTCCACACTGTGGGGCGCCGTGAGTAACACAGACCAATCAGCACCCGCTGTGAGCGCTCTGGCCGCGCAGCTGAGCCGCAGCTCGGCCACGAGCCGCGTATTCTCGTATTGCATAGCGGTACTGACCATACCGTACGGTCACGCCCCCCGTTTCCAGTACGCTTGCCGGCAACGCCAAAAATACAAATACCAAAAATACCGACGATACGCAAGAAAAAAGAGTCAGCCTCGACGACCAGCGAAAAACATCGACTTGCTTTCAACCTCGAGCCGCCAACCTCGACGTCCCATCATCGCCAGAGGCTCCCTTCACGCGTGATCCACCAGCCATAACTGCGCCTTAGCCATGCCGACTCTACGACTCCTCCAAGGAAGGCGCCGTTGAGCCGCGTTCCTCCAGTTGAGCGACCTTGGTAGATATACGGAGTATATGCTGCCAGTCACCTCGAACCAGGGGGCTCGTGGAGGCGTCTTAATCAGCGTGGCGTTGTATCCGGCCCTCCGCCTCACGAACGATTCCTTCTGCCTTGCCATCGACAGAAAGGGAGTTATTGACGGTTGATACGGTGTCTCATTTGCCGCTCGTCATTGCCATCCCGCACCTATTTCGTAGGAAGGCTGTTGATTTTGGCTGCTGTTGCACTGTGCAGTCAGCCCCCGGCTACGTTCATACTCCAGACGGAGTACATCTGAAGGCTTCTAGGCCAGTCAGTGCATTCGTTACTAGGGCCTACGGTATTGTACGGCATCCCTGGTCGCCTAACTACGAACGGTTAAACCGTCACGAATCAAACACCTATTATTAAGGTGCTACAATAACGGACATCCTCGAGTAGTGCTCTGTCTCTCTGTCTCTCGACTTGGAGCAGGACGGAGGTCTCGTCTCGAATCACACGTTACACCTGCCAGCGACGTCCCCCAGCAATCCATATAATTTTGCTGGTGGTTTGATACTGGCTCTATCAAGTTACCGTCGATCCCATCAGACCCGAGGCTGGCACTACCAGTTCCTTTTCTCACGAGAATTTAGCCCGTCAGCTTGCGCCACAACTCGCTCCTCCAACGCCGATACATCCAGGTCCACCTCCACCAAGACCATAGGTGTCACCCTTCCTCCTGCTTCGCCCTCCTCGCCATTCGCTTTATTCGCGCTTGCTGGTCCTTCCGTTCCAGCGTTTTCCCTCCTGTATCATTTGCTGCTGCTGCTTCATGGCTCTCGCGTGCTGCCCATCAACTCTACGCTGCAGACAGTAAACGTGATCATTTCCAACCGCGCAGTGTCTCTCGTTTTCCTTCCCTTCATGCCCTAAAACCTCTCCCCAGGTGTTCCTTTTTGTTAGTTACTTTTTTTCGCCTTTGCCTTTTTCTTGTATTTTTTTTTTAACCTACCTACGCATTTTCTCTTCTCACACGCAAACTCGCTACCCGTTACCAACCGGCTAACAACCGTAACAGTTGGAATATCTGGGCCTCTCCATCCATAACTCTTCAGCAGTTGGGGTGGTGTGACCAACAACAAACACCCAAGCTGGCCGCGCACCAGCAGTCTTCGCATGGCTGAATCCCTCACACAGGCTCCTGAACCGGCCTGCCCCCCAAGCCCGGCATCGAGGTCTGTGAATGGTCGTGCCTCGAGCTCTGCGACTCCGACTCCAAGTTCGACATCGCTGTTTTTGAAACCCGACGAGCTCAAAGACGAGCGCAACCTGTCATCCATCGCGAACGCGGGACTCAACGTCACCTCCACACCCTTAGCTGAAAGGAACAAACGGCCATCCCCGCCCACAATGACGTCTCCCAGTCAACACGCAGAGGAGGAGCAGAATCAGCGCCAGAGCAGCAATCCCCAGTCCGCCAGAAGGACTCCGGAAATAACGGTTGTGGACGGAACCCGTGAATCTACTCCAGTTCGCACCAGGCGGTCGTCGAAACCGGCTCCTATATTACAGGAATCACAGTCCCGGAGGAGTCCGTCCAGCGCCCCGGATAGCTTTGGCAATGGAGAGAATCCGCCTACTCTCATGAACAGCTCCACGGTTGCGAGCCCCGGGCCAATAGAGGAACCAAATCCTCTAGAGGATAAATCTCAAGAGAGAGATGAGATCGAAGAAGGTGGTAACAAGTCTTTCTCATATCCGGTTCCCATGCCCACTGCTGGCAGCGTGAACGACCCCCGGCGCGGAATGAGTCTCCCTCACTCAGGACTAAACAAATCCGGCGCACGCTCTCCGTCTTCGAAGAAGCATCGATGTCCATACTGCGCTACCGAATTCACTCGACACCACAATTTAAAAAGCCACCTTCTAACTCACAGCCAAGAAAAGCCATATGTTTGCCAAACATGTCAGTCTCGGTTCAGGCGGCTACACGATCTAAAACGACATACAAAACTACATACCGGCGAGAGACCTCACATATGCCTCAAATGCGGTCGTCGATTCGCTCGTGGAGATGCCTTGGCCCGACATAATAAAGGGCCTGGCGGCTGTGCTGGTAGACGGTCTAGCATGGGCAGTTTCGCTGGTGAGGATGAATTTGGAGACGGCAATGCCGGGACTGGTCCAGTAGGAGAGGACGCAATGGAGGGCCTCATGTACACAGAACCAGACCGGATGGACGAGGAGGAGGAAATGCGCCTGAATCTCCCTTCTATCAAGAAAGACGGTGGTTCGGACCAGTCCCAGCCCGGCTCTGCTCGTCACATATCCTTTCAACAATCCCATCAGTCAAGCACCTATCCACCTCTCGCGGCTCCACGATCACAACAGAATCTCAGTACCAGCAGCGGCGGCCTTTTCCCCCCAGCCAGCAACCATCAACGATCGAACTCAACAGCCTCTTCCATCTCCCAGTCCCCTTCACACCTTTCGTTCCCGCCTGGCCCGTCTTCCCCGTCCATGTTTGCACAATCAGGCATGACCGAATCCCCAAAACCTCTCTCTCCAAGCGGCGCTGCCTCACGGCAACTAGGCCACGGCCCCGAAAACTCTTTCCGCCAGACGCACCCATCCAACATGCCCCAATACCAATCTCAGATGCGCAATGGCTCAACAGGATTAGGTATACCCTTTTCTTCCGTTTCATCACCTGGAGATAGTCTAAGCCATCCAGGTTCTCAAGCAGGCACTCCACACCTTCCACCTCCTCTAGGCCTTAACCCTTCCGACTCCCGCTTCCCCCTTCATTCCCAACAGCAGCAGGGCCCTCATCACCCCGGTCGTGCTGGCTCTCACCCGCCTCTTCAACACCCACACCACCCTCCCGCCCCATCATCTAGCATCGACAGCAATACCGCCCCAAGCTCGGGTACCGGTAGTGGGAATAGCAGCTACACAAGTGCGCCGTCTAGTGAAGGATTTAACCCTAATGGTTCGCTAGCTAACATATCAGGGGCGTCATATTTCACTCATTCGCCGCATCAACTTGGGTCAGGCGATCAACCCACACGGCAGCTATCGATCCCTAGTCCTAATCCAAATCTACCCTCGACGGATAGGATATGGGGGTATATGCGAGCGCTCGAAGATAGAGTCAACGGACTCGAAAGCGAGGTCGTCAGGCTACGTGGCCAGTTGAGCAATATCACAAGCAGCAGCGAGAAACCCCAGGATAAAAACACCGGAAGCAGTGGGAAAGCCGAAACACTACCTCCTAACCCTAATATTCTCCCCACTCCTGTGTCCACCGCCGCTGTCCCAACCACTACCGCTGCAATCGCACAGACGACGGCCAGTGGCGCTACTAGTGGAGAAAAGACAGCGAAAACTCCGAATCCCGGTGGACCCTAATTGATATATACCTACTTTGTATAGGAAGGCGCCTAAATTTGGCTCCGGTTCTGAATTTGCGCATTATCGTTCTGGACTTTTTTCTAACGAATTTTTATACCCTTATTTAATATCCACTCACGCACGGGTTATTGCACGGGATGGTCGGGAATCAGCATTCATTCTCCCAGCATGTTCGGAATATGCTATTAAATTGCATTTGGTTCATCACGCAGTTGGATAAAAAGATGATTTTGATGGCAGTCATATAAAACTCCCAAAGCTAACACACTCTTTTTACTTCCTCCCCTCTCTTCGTGCCGCTCATTCATAATAGGACTTTCATTGGAGGCAACCGAGATATAACCGGGTCCCTACCTCCCTCATATACCCTGAAATATACCCACATCTACACTCTACAATCTAATGAAGTCGTCCTGCCCTATCTGTGAATAGATATAAAAACAATCCATGTCATCTATTCCTTGATTCCCAAGAACAAAAAAAAATGTATATGATGTTTTGGCTGCCAGCCTGCCTTTCCAGTTTTTATTCACTTGCGCCTTTTATATTCTCTCCCTTGCCTTTTCGCTTCGTTCAGCTCATATTACTATTCATACGTACTTTATCCATTTTTTCACTTCGTTACCCCCTATTTCTCTCCACTGCTGCTGTTCTAGTCGCCGTTTAGCACAGCTTCTATATCCTTTTATACCCTTCTATTCTATACCATACATTCGCCAACGCGGTCCAGTTCTAGTTAATTTAAATGAATGACTGAAATGATTATTCCACTCTACTACTCTCCTCTCTACCTTGGCTTCCCTCTGTTCCTCTCGTGTGATTTGTTACGATCACCTCTTTGGTTAATTTCTTGTTTCTATTGATTGGATGGGTATTTAGTTTGCTTGGTCGGGTTTATTTGGACTGATTGACATGACCGCTAGCTTATTATTAGCATATATGCCTAGCTCGTGTGATAGCTGGGAAAGATTTTTATCAATGTCAGAAGCTATGGCTGGATGATAAGGCCCTTCAAGTCATTGAGCTCTCTCTTTTTACAGAACATATATGACAGTCATACCACCTTGAAGCGAATAAATCAAAATATCGGTAGTGAAATAGCCTTTATTAGAAATTGAATGAGTGTGAGTATTATACCAGAGTACAGGGAAAAAACGAGCGGCTACCCTCAACCTTGGGCTCTAGAACACTACAAAACATCCTTTTTTGTACTGTATAAACCACCCTCCGCATCCTATAAAAATCGTGAATAAGCCCGTTCATTGCCACATCATATTGCCTCGGTCTTCGCACAGCATCACTCGAGCAACCAACTACCATCTGATCAAAGATCTTTTCCGTGGGATTCCCGGGTTGAAGCGACGCCAGGTGAGCATCCTCATAAACTCCCCGGGCTCATCCTTGATGAGATGTGGCATACCGATGTACAGGTTCTTCAACCAGCGTGGGAATAGAAATCTACTTTGTGGCCTTGCTGAAACCGTAAACAGCCATTCAAATCTGTCATGCCTCTGTGTCTGGAGTCTAGGTAGCTGTCTCACCATTCCAACCGAGACATACGAGGGGTAAATAGTCCGCCTAACGCGATGCATTCTCCGCTGGTTGCCAAAGCATGTATGCACGAGAGGAAGATGCACAACAAAGAGAGAGTCCAACCATCCAGTTGGGACACCCCTAGATGGGTGCTGTGGATCAGGCTCGGTTTGAGGATTTGATCCCTCCTCTGGTCTCCTCTGTTGGGCAGACTGGTCGGTATTTTCTGGATTTCCAGTTTCGTTAGGCGCAGGTTGAATGTCCCTTGAGCTTCCGGCTTCGGCTGGGGTAGTCTGGAGAGTATTGACGTCTCTCGAGCTTCCAGCTGTAGCGGAATTACTTTGGAATCTGCTCGAATCTCCGGCTTCTGCCGGGCTAGATTGAGTGTCCCTTGAGCTCCCAGCTTCGACCGGAGTAGTCTGGAGAGAGTTAACAACTCTCAAGTTTCCAGCTGTTGTGGGTGTGTTCCCGAATCCTCTAGAACCTCCAGCTTCTGTAGATGCAAGTTGAACGTCCCTTGGGCCACGAGCATCGGCCGAGGCAGATCGGAGAGGATAAGTAATGTCCACCGAGCTTTCAACTCTTCCAGCTGTACCAGGTATATTTGGGAGACTCATCGAACTTCCGGCGCTCGGTGTAGGCCAAAAATTTCTTGAACTGCCAGCTTCCGCTGCTGCAGTCCGGAAACTTGTACTTCCAGTCTCAGCAGACACTGGTTGAGCAATTCCAGAGCCCCTGGGCTCAGTTGGAGCGTTATTACCATTTGCAGGGTGGCCAGGACTTCCCTCTGGTGGAACATCTGCATAGGTTTGCCTTGGCCGACGGGGGTCAGCAGTCTCTACATAAGATGGCAGCTGAGTCTCCGACCGCGTAAGGTGTTCCGGGTTAAAAGCTCTAGCAGCAGTGAGAACCATTACGGGGAAGATACGCTTTGAAGAAGAACAAAGGCCCGAGTGGCGTTCGATCCAACAAACTTGGCTTTAATCAGCACAGCCTTGCTAGAAGAGGATGGGAGGTGTTTCTTTTTGGCTTGTACTCACTTTCTGCAGTGACGTCCCTCCAGTTGACGAGTTGCACGTCCTCGCAATCGTACGTGTGTATATTGGTCACTTTAATTCCAGGCACATATTCCGGAAGATGTGTAGTATGTCTGTTCTTCCAGTACTGTCTCATATCTTCAAAGGTAGCATTGCCGCGACTCGCCCTGTCCTTATGCTCAGATTTCCTGCCAAACCAGTCCTCTTCAGCGTCGCGCGGAATCTCATCCCGGTGATCTCGTAGTTCGTCCAACCAACCTGGGTCAAGGTCCCTGACAACATGATGGTGGGCGAAGTAGCATTTGGCCTTACAGCCAGGAGAGCGTCGTGGTCTGGGATATCTCTCGCCGCGCCTTGTAGATGGACCCCTTTGGCAAAGTGCTCGGAACGCATCGTCTAAGGCCTTTTGCAAAAATGCATCAAACTCGGGGGCTGTTACATTGTATGATGTCCTGAATGCAGCACAAGGTGGAAGCTGAGCGGCGGTAATTGGTCTAGGGTGCGCATAATCCGGTAAAACACCCTGGTGGGGTCGAGGTTCATCTCCGGGGTCAAGTCGAGCGAATTCGCCATGGGTTCCGGTTATGGCAAGTCCAGGACCGGCTGCTGGGGTATGAAAACGTTGTGGTTGTTCACCTCGATAACGTGCCCTTCCCCGGCGCTCCTCTGGTTCGGACTGTCTTGACGAACGGTCAGTCGGTGCCTCGATGCCTCCAGATGCCAGAAAACTAGGTGCAGACACCGTTTGACTGCGACCTCCCGCTACAGAGTGTTCCGTTTGGGTCGCTCTTGTTTCGGTGGGCTGATGTGGGCCTGCGGAAATCTCTGTCTGGGCTGGGTTTGATGTGCTAATATGAGCAACGGGCTCTGACAGGCTCTCTGTCGCTCTGGGAGATTCCGCCGGGGCGGGGTTTGTGTTTTCAACTTGACGAATGGGCTCCAGGTGGTGCTCCGTCGCCACGATAGAAGTCTCAGGCTGAGTTGGGTTCGTTATGCCCGTCAGAACAAGGCGCTCTGATGGACGCTCTATTGATTCTGTAGGGGGCTCTACTGGTGCTAAATTTGTAACACCGGCTTCGGCAACGGGCTTTATTGGGCGATCTGGTGCTGCTGGAGAGGTCTCTGCCTGGGTTGAACTTGTGCCAATCGGATCAATAGGCTCTGATGGACGTCCCATTGCTTCCGTGGAAGACTCTACCGGGACTGGACTTGTGACATCAACTTGAGCAACTACTTCTGCGGAGGGCTCTGTTGCTGCCGTAGAAGGCCCTGCCTGGGATGAGTTTGATATGCCAGCCTGTGGCCCTGACGCATGCTCCGTTGCCTCACCATCCCCACGAGGCTGTGGTTGTGCAGCAGAAGAATTGGTCGGTTGCGATGTATTAGCAACATCACCTTGCTCTGGTATATTTGAATCCCCTTGTTCATCAGAATCTGGCGGCGGAGGTGGGAAAGTTCCATACTGTACTGTCTTAGACATTGTTTGTATAGAGAGGGTGAAGAGAACTTGAAAACAAGTAGAAATTGGGTGCACGACAAACTGCAAATGGTGTAATGAAACGAAGGACAGGGGCAATCAAACGAGAGTCTGGTTGGTCAGTAAAATATCTATAACAATATATATATATATAGACACCAATATTGATCAACGAGCGTGGACCGAGGAGGGAGAAAAGGAGAAAAGGAAGAAAAACATTGAAACCGAATGTTTTTTTTTTTCTTCTATTTCTTTGCTGGCTGGGAAATAATAACAAACCTAGCCAGAAAGAGCCACCGGAACGCAAAACATCAGGTAAACACAATGGAAGAAGGGAAAGAGCCTCCCTAGAATGACGTATAGTCGATGACTTATATATATTCAAGAAGGCGCTATCGTGGCCACAGGTTAATCGTACAGGCGTTGCATATTCGTTACTGTATATAAATTGGGGTATCACTGTTGAAATTGGAGCTGCATGAGAATACTTGTCCAGTACTGCTGCAGGAAAGAAAAGGATGGCATATAAGAGAGACGGGCGATTGTTATACGCTCCGTACTCCCGGCCCAACGCTTCCTGTATTAAAGATCTCGATCAGTCCCGCACCCAGGGCTTCTTCGAGCGCCCATTGGAAGTTCAAGCCATGGAGCTGTTTCCACTTGTTTGTTCGGCCAGGTAAGACACCCGCAAACTCTCCGCGAATGTGCTTTGCTATGCTAACCCTAGAGCTTAGCTCAATAGAGCCGTCCCACCGGTCACGAATCAGGTAGAGAGGTGCTTCGCTGTATCGAGATTTCCTCAGTGTGTCTAGGATCTGGGTACGTGCAGATCCGAGAAGCCTGAGGTAAGGCCCCATATTAGGTAAGGAGAGAATCATTGTTGACCCTCTTTCACTTGATGAGTGGACAGCACGATTTGCGGAGGGTGAAGTCGTCGAGCGACCTACATTTATGTAACCGCTCTTGGAGTGAGACGAGGCCGTCACCAGGAAACCTGAACGAACCAGTGCAGCAGTTTCCTCGGCAGAAAAGAAACCAGCAGGGACAGCAGGGGATTTGGTTTCCTTCCGTAGAGCCTCAATGAAGCGGTCTATGCAGCTGTTAGACATGATACAAGAATATATATCAGACAAAAAAGAAGGTAAGATCTCACCTTTCAACACATCGTCCAGCGACGTGCTATTTCTAACCAGCTTCTCCCAGTCGTCGAGCAGAACAAGGCAGTCGCCGAGTCCGTATGTCCCATCTCCACGTCCAGTTACAAGCAGCCTGCGTACAACAGCTGAGTCAACTAGCTGTACAATCTCTCGCTCGACCTTTGTAGGATCGTCAAGCAGAACATGTACATGTGCCACAGACACGATCGGAGGCAGTGACTTTCTGAATGCCATGATCTGTGCTATCCGCGTACTATTCATGCCTGATCTCCTTTCCGGTATGGCACTGAACATGGTGCTCTGGATATGCTGGATGGCCTGAGTCACACTGCTGATGGCAATGGACTCCGTAATGGCCCTCGAAGGACCCAGGTCCGGCAACGCCTCATCGAAGAGGACATCTCCACCGGTAGTACTGCTACTGGTACTATGTCTCGAGGCGCTTCTACTTCTTTCCTCCGTCTGGTGAAGGTTGGCTTCGAGCTGCTTGCCTTTGCTATGAAGCGCAGTCGGCGTAGAAGCTGCCTTGGCACGGCGAAATGAGGCAAAGGGGGTTTTCTGCCGCGATGCTGAAGTCGGCTTCTTTATGCGAGATGAATGCGCAGCCGTCAGATTAAGTGACATCACCGTCTTCTGGCTATTTCTATCCTCAGTTTCTCTGCGTCCTCAGCTTGCTTTGTATGAAGCTCCGTTTTCGTTCTTCGCTTGACGTTCTTTTTGGCATTTCTTTTTTAAGGTTTTATATCACATGACACATTATATAATTTATTAAAGTTATTACTAATAACTGAGTAATACTCACGTGATGTCATTTGTACCTAGGTGCTCTCCTTGGCATTTTTTATCCAAAAATACATAAAATCGTTCATAAATCAGTCATAAATCCCTGAATCCAATCGATACATCAAGGCAAAAGAAGAATAAATGATAGAGAAAAGAAGCGCGAGGAACCACTAGAAGGATGATATTCCTGGTAAAAAGTGACCGTCGAGCCTGATTCGATGAGTCTACGTTCTCAACTCATGCTGCCCACGCTCAAGCAGAACCCCCAGATGTAGAATCAAAAGCAATATCAAACCCGAGTATCTGCCAGACAGAACCCTGGAGACACAGCCAGAAGTCGCTGTAACTAGTTATTCTATCGGCTGGCTCGATTGGTAACTACTTAGCCGACCAAATGTTACCATAGAAAAGGGGTATCGAGGCCGTCCATCCGTAGTTATTCACCAGCTGTAACGTCAACGCCAGCATCAACGCAACCAACACCAACACCAACACCGGCAACCAGCAGCATAACCAGCAGCATTAACCATTGATTTCTGCCCTGCCAACCTGCTTCCCCAGGTATCCGGGGGTATGACGTAGGTAGCACTGGTTTCAGGGTTTGGCTAGAATCCAACAGTTTCAGCAACCCGCAGGGCAACAAAAGGGAGACGCAGCGCAAAGTTACGTCCATGTGCGCAACCCGTGGTTCGCCTGCAAACTCACTTGCACTGCCTGATTGATTAATAGCCCTGGCTGGACTCGCAGCTAGCTCATGGTTTGATCTGGGATATCCGGGAAACTTGGTGACTTTCACGTTACTCGACGGCCGGCATCGACTTCCCCAACCTCCATCATCGCCAACCCGACTCGGCCGCAGCGCTCATTCTTCGCTTCTTCGTTCACCAGCGAGCTCGATGCCTGGTCCTGCTGCTGTCCGGCGAATTGACACTGCTGTGACCTGAAGGCGCCCTCGTTCTACTTCGACTGCTGCTCGTCGTCGTCTTGGTGGTGCTACCGCTCGCTGCGCCGGCTGCCCCTCTCGTGCGCTCAGTGGCTGGTTATATGGAGGGGTCAGCGTGCGGCCAGGAGACACTCGTATATGCGCTGATAGAGCCATACCAGCTGCGACAATGACGATATTTATCGTTTCTCTGTACGTTTAAACCCGTGGTTTATGTGTTTTGTTTAGAGCACTCTTCGCTGACCGAGCCAGCTTTCTGCCGCACACGATCGACTTTGCGCTGCCGGAAGGCCACCAGCGCAAGGCCTCCCATCACCACCGCCGCAAGAGCTCTGGCCAGAGGGCTACTCTCTTTGGACGCTTGCCAGGCAGCCAGACGGCCACTCCTACATCGGCGTCAGCGTCGACGTCAGCATCAACATCAACGGCAACGACAGCGACAACATCTGCTGCTGCGTCTAACCATGCGTCCGGATCGGCCGTAGCAGGCCGTCGACCGTCAAGCCTAAGGGATCAAGGACGTATGTTCTCGTGCCCGGACTACTCCAGCTCCGGTATAGAGGTTACCTCTCAGCAACCACGGCTTCTGGCACCTAGCGACCCACACTCACCTCGCTGGGGCTCTCCGGGGGCCTTTAATCAGCCCAAAGCCCAGGCTCTTGCGCCTCCGTCATCCTCCATTCTCAACCATGCACTCGGCCAGGAATCTGCTTCAGAGCTGTCAAGGACTGAACCTACGGTTCTGCCTCCTTCACCGGTACGCCCGTCTATAGAGCCCGGGTCCCAACCAAATCAGGAGAGTGTATTTGAGAGCGCAGAATGGACGGTTCAGCCTTCAGAGCAAGGAAACGGTGGTTTGTTAAACGCAATACGCTCAGCTGTTGATTGGCCATATATGAAGGATAAGCTATGGGTTGGTACACTGGGGATGCCCACGGATGCATTGCATGACAAGCAAAAGGAGGCTATAGCTGAAAAGCTGGCCGCCGACTACGAAGCGTTGACCATCTTTGTCTCGGATAACGACTTTGACAGCCACTACCTACATTTTTGCAAGATGATCCTTTGGCCAGTGTTCCACTACCAAATACCAGATAACCCCAAGAGCAAAGCTTACGAAGACCATTCATGGATATTCTACCGCCGTGTTAACTATAACTTTGCAAAGGAGCTTATCAAAAACTGGAAACGAGGAGATGTGATCTGGGTGCATGATTACCATCTCCTCTTGGTACCTGCCATGGTGAGGAAGGAAATACCCGATGCACAGATAGGCATTTTTCTTCATGTTGCATTCCCCTCCTCAGAAGTGTTCAGATGCCTCTCCGTCCGTGTGGAGTTGCTCAAGGGGATGCTCGGTGCAAACCTAATTGGTTTCCAGACTCAGGAATACTGTCACCATTTCTTGCAGACTTGTAGTCGGTTGCTCAATGTCGAGGCTACAAAGGACGGTGTACAGCTGGAGGATAGATTTGTCAACGTCGGCACGTTCCCCATTGGAATTGACCCCGTCTCACTTGATATCCGCAGACAGTGCGGAGAAGTCAAGTCCTGGATAAACATCCTCCAGGAAAAATTCAAGGGCAAAAGACTTATTGTTGCTAGGGATAAGCTTGACAATGTCAGGGGAGTACGTCAGAAATTATTGGCATATGAACTCTTCCTCAATAAATACCCTCATTGGCGAGATTCAGTTGTTCTCATACAGGTAGCATCTACTACCACGGAACAACCAGAACTAGAAGCCTCTGTTTCCGATATCGCGACACGAATCAACTCCGTTCACTCCAACCTTGCCCATCAACCGCTTATTTTCCACAAGCAAGACCTGCTTTTTGATCAATATCTTGCTCTTATTTCTGTTGCTGATGTTTTCATGGTCACGAGTCTACGTGAGGGAATGAATCTTACCAGTCATGAATTTATCCACTGTCAGGATGGCCTACTCTCATCGTCCAAACACGGCCCATTGATCCTCAGTGAATTCACTGGCAGTGCATCAATATTCAACTACCACCCCCTCCTTGTTAATCCATGGAACTATCAAGAATGTGCAGATGCAATAAATACAGCTCTTGAAATGTCTCCCGAGACTCGCCTAGCGCAATGGACTCGTCTCAATACTACTGCAAAGGACCATGTCACAACCCGGTGGGTAAACAATTTCACGGAGGCTCTGGACCGCGCATACCGCCAGCATTCCACTCGTGAAACCGTTGCCGTCCCTAGGCTATCGATCCCTAATCTCTGCAATGCATACCGTACATCTTCGCGTCGCCTCCTCATCCTAGACTATGAAGGTACCCTTGTGAGCTGGGGACAACCGACAAGTACTGTCCTTACAACTCCTCAGCGAGCTATCGATACCCTGACGGACCTTCTCGAAGATCCCTTGAACACAGTCTACGTGATGTCCTCACGTATGCCAGAAGACATGGAGCGCCTCTTCAGCCGCGTTCCTGGCCTTGGCCTAATAGCTGAGAACGGATGCTTTGTGCGGCCACCCCCCATGTTGTCTCCAACGCCTTCCCCTCCAACTACAGGCACATTTGTAACCTCAAACTGGATCCGGCTCATCGACATGACTAAGATGAATGACTGGAAGCTTTCCCTTTCCCCTATGCTTCGTTACTTCCAAGAGCGTACAGAAGGAAGCTGGATTGAAGAAACTCACGCGTCACTGATCTTCCACTATGAGCGAGCGGAGGACTCGCAAAGCGCAGAACGCCATGCGTCTGAATGCGCAAATAACGTCAACGACAGTTGCGGCAACCATAGTCTAAGAGCAATACAGATGGACGGCTGTGTTGTTGCCGGGCCTGTGGAACCAAACAAAGGTACTGCAGCTAATGTGGTGTTTTCGACATATACGAGGAGAGAATCACGCAGAAGCTCCAGCGCTGGTAGTGCAAGTAGCGTTAAACAGGGTATGGCTATTGAATGGAAGAGTGAGACAGAAGACAATGATGAAGATGTGCCGGACTTTATCCTTGTGATTGGCGATGGAAGAGATGACGAACCCGCATTCAGATGGGCAAATGAACTTGGCGAAGAAAAGAAGGTGAAGAACGTCATGACAGTTACGTTAGGATTCAAGAACACGGAAGCCATGGCCACTTTAAATCAAGGCGTTACCGGTACGTGTACTTATTCAACCCTGCGCTTTTTCACTTGCCTCGCAAAGCTAACATGAGATTTCTGTCCATAGGAGCATTGTCATGTCTAGGAAAACTGGTTGATATATCGCAGCGGAGGGATTCGGCGTCACTTGCTCAAAAGCTATCTTATATCCCGGCGTCAAATGGAGAGTGAACTTACCCCGTCAATCCATTGTCCATTGTTTGCTTTTATTATATCCTTAGTTATATCAGAATATGTATTCTACGGATCGCATCGCTCTCTTTTCCTCCGTAATAATGTGTATAATCTACTTGGTAAAACCGCTTGTTAATATGAGTTAATAGATGGTCCGCCTAAGTTGAGTTTCAATCAATTAAAGACTTATGGACTAGAGGTACTAAAGCGGGTCATCTGAAGCGCAGGGAAGACGACTGTTGCGGCTAGCATGTCGTGTTTGCATTTCTCCTGTAAGTTGATGAATTTTGTATGACATAGGGGGTCCACCGGGGGGAATAACGTGAAGGGGATGTGCCCTCCTTGTATGTTCTGAAGCCGGCCAATTCGGCTAGGTATATAACTAAGGGGGGTTTATCCGAATATGGTTTATTCAGATGCGGGTGTGAGCCCTTCTCTCCTAACCAGCTTTCCCGCCGCTTTGCGAAAACGGTCTAGGGATAATTGATGGACGTCGTCCGCGTTTCTTCCTTCCGATAAGCTGTCCCCCAGGATTTGTCTTCGAGTTACTGGGATAGTTTGAGTAGCTGAGTTAGCTGGAGCT